GCAATTAAAATGAACAAGAAAGGAGAAAGGGGGTCTCCTTGTCTTATACCCCTACTGGCTGGAAAGAGATCTACCACTGTCCCATTCACTAGCTCTGAATAATGACAATTCCGGACACAGCCCATGATCCACTTGCACCATCTAGAATAGGCCATTCTGTTCAGTCATTTCATCCATTCTTAAATAGTCCCTTAGCAATAGTTTATAGTATCCATCTTAAAAGGTTCAGAGTATCCATGATTTCATGAAATACCTACTTACACCAGTATACATGTTTGTGTTACTCAGCTTCCCTTACTTACAAGTTGGTTAATAATACAATTCTAGTAGTTGCATAGGTAGGTTTTTAGTCCAAGAACCACTTTGTGATTAAAATCCTACATTAGTTCAACATCATAGGGATGCTCACCTTAAAATACCCTGGGGAGGGATTGTCGATGTACAAAGATTACCTCTTTATACCATATCCATTTAATGAGTCTGCGATTTCATCAGTGTCTCTGTGTTTTGGAGTATTGTTTTACTGGGTATAGGTAATTTGTTTTCCTGGATTATAAGGTGTCGTGTACTGGGATCAGGATGGTTACTAGCTGTATTTGGATAATTGAAATTAGCCATTGTGGAAAACTAGAAAGGCAAATATTATCTGGAAGTGTATTGTGATATTACATCCTGCTGTGCTATCTGAACTGAGCTTGAACTTTTTATCAATGGACCATGACCCACTTCTGTGGTCTGTTGCAGATCCATAGTTGTCAAGGCCACACCTGGGCAATAAAGCATTTTTTGGATCACCTTATGCTTTGTCTCAATGTTTCCATATGGGAGGTGCCGTAATTTTAGGTGTAATGTTGATAAACCATATCATGTTTGTACAAGGAAAATGTTTAAAAGGGCATCATAAAAGACTAATTTTTATCATTAATCCTTTCTAACTATGATCAGAATGTGGATTCTGCCCCTTCAGTTTTTTACTTTTTGTTTCTTAATAAGATATATTCATTATCATCACCTAGGTGATGTGGTAACAAGGCACTCTGCTTCCGCCCAGTCTTAGTGCCCTGAAAACTATGTGCAGATCTAAGATTTTTTTTCTGCATGGCATTCCCTTCTATTGGGTTAATTTGGATTCACTAGCTTCCAAGTTCCAAAACATGCAGGAAAAACTGACTTATGTCCATTTGGCCAAGCTTCTTGTTGCACATGCAAGTTCATTACTTTATACCATGGGTAGTGAAGGCATAGGCCTTATAGTATACTAACCATGTCTTACAAAAATTGCTTAATGCTCATGTTATTGGTTTGCACACCTTCCAAATGAGTCTGGTAAAATTAACTTATTTCAGCCTAATAACCGATGGCTCCAGTTGGTCAAGAAAAGAAGGCTTTGGCATTATACTTGATGGAGGCAACCTAATGACTGAAAATGCTGATACAACTCATTTGAGTAATTCACAACGTGTTCTCAACTTTTGTTTGTTATCAATATTAGATTTTGTAAACGCACTGATTATTCATTCCCATAGTATGGTCACACAAAATACTGCCACATCCAGGTTGTATGGGCAGAAATATGATTATGGTTGTCGCTTTATAGTTTATTGTGGTTCCCCAGTCTTTAGTTGCATGTGTTTGTGCTCACTTCCCCATTAATTTGTTTTATACTACATGCAATTTCTAGCCTATGATCACATTGCAGTTGGACTTTTTGCTTTTGGTTTTCAAGTTACAATTTCTTATCTAATTTTCTGTGAGGTTGCCACCATTCGTAGGCTTCTTGCATGCATTATGAAACTAGTTAGCGAGACTATCAAATACTAATAATATCAACTCTCTATTCAAAAAAAAAAAAGCTATTGCAGTATTACCTGTATACCCAATGCCTTAATTAACACATGAATACTGAACTAGTTCTTTTAATGTTTAAACATGCTGAATGCATTTGACCTCTTTCAGGGTACCATTCTAGCAGTTGCTGGTGGAGGCAGTGCATCCGTCAAGCTGTGGGACACTGCAACATGGCAACTATTAGCCACCCTAGCTGTTCCACGCCCTGAAGGATCCCGGCCCTCTGATAGAAGTGGCAGTGGTAAGTTTGTCCTCTCAGTCGCATGGAGTCCAGATGGGAGAAGATTGGCATGCGGTTCCATGGATGGTACAATCTCCATCTTTGATGTAGCCCGGGCGAAGTTCCTCCACCATCTGGAAGGCCATTTCATGCCCGTGCGCTCACTTGTGTACTCCCCAATAGATGAACGGGTACTTTTTTCAGCTTCAGATGATGCGCATGTGCACATGTATGATGCAGAGGGTAAGACCCTGGTTGGGGCTATGTCAGGTCATGCAAGCTGGGTTTTGAGTCTGGATGTGAGCCCAGATGGTGCGGCACTAGCCACAGGCTCCAGTGACCGCACTGTGCGGCTTTGGGATCTAAACATGAGGGCCGCTGTACAAACAATGAGCAATCACACAGACCAGGTCTGGGGAGTGGCATTCCGCCCACCAGGGGGAACTGGTGTCCGGGCAGGTCGGCTTGTGAGCGTGTCAGACGATAAGAGCATATCTTTGTATGATTACTCAGGAAGGTAGCAAGTTCGTTAAGATGGTGGGATGCTGATGATTTGCTTCTGCTTCAACATGTGCCTTTAGCTTCTTGCTAATTTTTATTTTTATGTTTCGAAAAAAACTGAAAAAGTTTTGTTCTATTTATCAATTTCTAATTCTAATTTATCTTTGATTTTGCTGGCGGAAATGTTGTGATCATGGAATGCAAGGAACTTTAACATGTTTAAGTTGTGAAATGTTTGACTTTATCATTTTTTTTCTCCTGTGTTGCCCTCCCACTAATCTCCTTTCAGTCATTTTAGAGTTGTTTTTGCAGTTGTCTTCAATTGTAACAGTCATGAATGCAATTGTAAAAGGAGAAAGATAGATCAGCTGCAACCAGCAAAGTGCTTCTTGGTTTTCCTAAATTACTTTCCTTCTAAATTGGTTTACATTATTCATTCAGTCTCAAAGTCTTCTGTCCTTTCTAGTCGATATAATTCCCTATTCTTGTGGTCTTAGAGTTGAATGCAAGAGCAATTTTTATTTTTACTCGTAAGTCTTAACCATTTGCTCTCGATCTGATACTCAATACGAGGTTCAAACTTTTTATCTTTTGACTCTTGATCCGCCGGTCTAAAAGGAGTTTTGATTAATATTATTTTTAATAAATAAAATATATAAAATACTGTAATTTTATTAAATTAAAAAAAAAAACAAAAAAGAGAATTCTCCGGATGTATTGATATTTTAAACCTTGCCTCATCCCTCGCCTGACCTCCCTTTTCAGCCTTGCATCGAGAACATCTATGTACTTTTATGCTCATCTATGTACTTTCATGTGGAACCACTGATAACGGGGCTACACTAAAAATTAAATGATTGCGGGCCCCATGTATTTTAATATTGATGTTGAGCGTAATCATTGGTTATACATGAAGTTCACCCAATCCTTTTTCACCAATTTTGCCCACCAAGAAATGCAAATGAAACTAGGATATGGGTATCCTTTGGGGTAATTGCATTTATCATGTTCTTTTATTTCTCAAACAAATAAAACAATGACCCTTTTAGCCATAAAATACCATTATTAAAAAGGACAAGTTTGTCCCATCCAAGAAGATGGCTAATTTAAATCTTCATGCTTACATGTCAGTGTAGCTTATGCTAGTGTTTAAAGAGAACCATCTAATTATCTGCTGGAGTTCCATGTCAAGCAGCTAGATGACAAGATGTTAAGCTATGTGCCATAATCAAAGGACTTGAAACAGCTAAAAAGGAAGGATTCAAAAAAGTCCTTATATTTTTTGATGCAGCGCGAGCGGTGACAAAAATCCAAAGTAAAGAATACAATGACAACTGGATTGAAACAATGCTTTTAGATTATATATGCATTTTACTAAGATCATTTGAGGAGGTTCAGATAGAACATGTTGGACATGAACGGAACACTATAGCTAATTTTTTTGCTTATTGGTCTTGTATATATAATATTAATATTAGCTACATATGTAATAGATTGACGGTCTCCCCTTCATATAAATAAATTTGCTAGCATTGCTGGCTTTCTATTGCCAAAAAAAAAAAAGAAGAAGATGGGTATCACTTCAGGAAAATAAAATTTTCATAGACCCCACACCTTTTTTGATATTCAACTTTCTCCCCTCTCAAAATCCAAAAATTGAACGAGTCCTTGTAGGTAACCAAAAAAATTTATCATGATATAAATAGTTGAGAAACCCTTCTTCCAACTGAGGTCACCTTGGGCACACTACATATAAAAAACAAGAAGAAAAATATTAGAAAGGCACCAACTCCATTTGGAACCACTGAACTCCAGATTAGTTTAATTGTGAAACAAGTTTGTGAACCCACCATAATCCCTCAACAAACATATTTTCAAACCCTAACTTTAACACCAGTGGCCTTAAGTGAAACCAAATCAAAATTTAATTTTATGGCCAAAATTCACATCATATTCCAACTACAGTTTGAATAATTTGAAGAGAATGAAATACTTTTTGGGTGAAATAATCTTATTTTCCTAGGCCAAATAATTGTTCAATGCACACATAACTTTTGATGAAAACTTGGAAACCCATACTGTTTTCTACCATTAGAAGTTGCTCCATCACTAAAAAGATATACTCTAGAGAGCCCCTCATCCTGAAGTTTCTATCAAAAAATACCCCTTGTAAAATCATTAACCACTAGTCATCTACCTCCAGTTAGTTCCCTTGATACCAAGGGTAAACTTCTTGCTCAAGTACCAGTAGACCACCACGATATATATGCATAATATACATGAATACATGCATATAATTTTTTTTTGATAAATATGAATACATGCATATAATGCGTGCCAAGTTTCAAATTTTCACATATGGTGGATGATGATAATGCTTGATGTAATTCTTTTTCTCACTATAGAAGCAAATCAGACAGTAATTGAATCTCCATTGATTCACAAGATGATAGGCAGACCCTTCCACGGAGGACAGCATATCATCATGGATTCACCAACTCTCTGCAGGCACTAGAAAGTTTACTCTAGACAGTGAACTCTACCATGTACCGGTTACTAAAATGGGTATATGGAAAAAAACGTCATTCAGAACTTTTGCAATCTCATAGATACTTTCTAAAATTGAAATTCAATGCTACAAATGTTGAGGTAAACAGGAAGTACCAACAAAACCATTGTCTAATTGAAAACACTAACTAATGCACCATAGAAGATTCTCTCTTTCTCTACCAAACCTTGAGAACTCAAACTCGTTAAATGGTTCTCAATCCTACAGAGAAGGGAATGCATAAAATTGCAACGCCAACAACTAAAGAGCAAAAGAGCAGTAAGCATCCTAAACTTCCAATTCCCACAAAAGGACTAATGTTTTGGAGCCTTACTCAATAAATACTTCTTTAGAACATCCATAACCGAACCAAAATCTGCCTTCACTTGCATTGGTGGGTTAGCATGGCGGCAGGCCATATCCGCAATTTGTTTTGAGTGGTAATCAATCTTGGATTGTGTGAACTTCAGTCCATGAGCTGTGCTGACCACCACCGTCCGGTCAGTAGGGCCAATAACGCCACTGTTCCTAAGTTTAATCAATGCTGACAAAGCAACACCAGTATGAGGACATATGAACATGCCAGTTGAATCTGCTAGGGCCATGGCATCCATCAATTCCTCTTCAGTTGCTTCTTCCACAATCCCATCCGAATTCTGGAGAGCAAAGACAGCTCTATCTATAGAAACTGGGTCTCCAATTTGTATAGCAGATGCAAAAGTAGTATTAGCTTTCACCGGCTTGAATTCACCCCACCCCGACTTGTAATAAAGGTATAGAGGGTTGGCATTGGCAGCCTGAGCACAGACGAGTCGTGGGATCCGATCAACAAGTCCCAATTCTTTGCACATCCGGAAGCCTTTATAGAAAGCATAAATATTACCCAGATTTCCCCCGGGAACAATAACCCAGTCTGGCACTTCCCAATCAAACTGCTGCAATATCTCAATGGCAGCAGTCTTCTGCCCTTCAAGCCTCAGACTGTTCAAAGAATTCGCAAGATATATTGGCAGCTCTGCCGTAACCTCTCGAATCAACTGCATACATCCATCAAAATCTGTATCGATACTCAAAACAAAAGCCCCATTTCCAATTGGTTGAACCAACTGGGCAATTGAGATTCGATTTGCAGGGAGAAAAACAATGGACGGAATACCCGCTGAAGCACAATATGCGGAGAGAGCAGCAGAAGTATCCCCAGTTGAAGCACAGCCTACGCCAACAACCGGCCGGTTCATCTTCCTCAACCGGTTGACCTGACTGACCAAGACAGTCATCCCCAAATCCTTGAAACTCCCTGTGTGACTAATCCCACAATGCTTCACCCACAAATCATTCATGCCCATAAACTGTTTGCCAAAACGCTCGGCCCAGAAAAGGTTGGAATTGCCTTCGAAGGCGCTAACAATGTCATCGCTGTCAATCTCCGGAAGGACCCACTCCTTTTTACTCCAAACGCCGGAGCCGTAGGGCCACGTCGTCTTGCCTACTCGAGAATCGAATAGGGATTTCCAGTACTGACCATCAAACTTCTTGAGAGCCTCCATGTCGTGTTGAACGTCGAGGAGGCCGCCGGAGCGGCTCCGATAGACGATCTCATCAAGCGAGTAGAATTCAGTGGAGCCGGGATCGGCGTTGAATGGGACGTATTTGGCGGAGAAGCCATGCTTGTGGGTGGAGGAGTTGTGGCGGCGAGCTTCGTCGCGGATGTTCTCATCGGCGGGGCGGCGGTGCTTCAGGACCGTCGAAGGAGATGAGGGTTTGTTGGTATTTGAGTGATCAGGCGAAGAATCACATTTTATGATGATGGGGTGGTCGTGGACTCTAGCATTTCGACTGATGGATTTTGGTTTTTGCCGGAGAGAGCAAGGAGAAGCCTGAAACAATGAACACACTGCCATTTCTGTTCTCTCTTTCTCTTTTCTCTCAGAAGTCCGAGGAGAGGAGAGGGGGCGGCGACGGCGGGCAGAGTTGTTTGGTTCTGCTAAATATGGAGGATGGAGACTGGAGAGCGAGCGTACCGGGGACCGGGAGATCGAATCGAATACGTTGCGAGCAACAAGTCATTATTGCCGTTTTTCGGGGTAAGGCAGCAGCGTGGGAAAATTTTACTAAAACCGGTTTTCTGAAAATCACTTACACCTACCTACTAGTGTTTTTAAACTGACCGGAAACGGAATCGCTTTTACCCCGGTTTGCGGCCAGTGGTTCAATCGTCCGAGTGAAAAAGTCACCTTTTATATAATAATTAGGAAAATTTCCATATCATACCCTATATTTTACTTGGAGTGACAATTTAATCTCCAAACTTTAAAATGAGACAACCCAATACCTGAATTGGTTACTTGGAGTGACAATTTATTCTCAAAACAGTTTTTTGTCCAAAAACCGTTTATTTGGTTAGCGAACCGCTGACTTGAGCGGTTGAACCGTCAACCATGGTTCAAAGTATCAATACGCCTATGCGTATCGGTACTTAGAAACACACGGAAATACTTTTTTTTTTCAAATTTTGGTTTTTGGGGAGCTAAAAATGGGTTTTTTTTATTAAAAAAAAAAAAGATGGGTCCCAAAAACAAGTGTTTCGGGACCCAAAAGATATGATACGACACGCCCAATACGGGGCGTATTGTATTTACTTTTTGAACCTTGCCGGCATCAACCCAGACAACAGTTTTGGCCTTTTTTTGTTTTTTTGTCAAAGCGGGTCATCCGTTTGAACCGAATAATTAGACTTTTTGACCCCATAATGGTTCCCTATCCGGTCCAATTTTAAAAACCTTGGATGGGGAGTGGGTACCTGCTCTTGAGTTTGGCTTGGTGTGCAGCATGGCTTGGCCCAAGGTCCGACCCATGAACCAGCTCAACCAACGACACATAATGGGCCCGTGCTGGCTCGAGCTGTGGGCCGTGCCAAACTGGCCCCCAAATTGCCCTAGTGGAGGGAGGCACAGCCCGGGACGCTTCACGGGCTAGCACGACACGACTCACACTTTGTGCGGGGCACATGCGGGTTGTGTCGTGTTGACCTAGCATGACCCAATTTACACCTCTACTTGAACCCACCTAATACCAAGGACAGGACAGGGAAATTCGAGGATTCTCTGTCCTTGATGAGGAGTGGGTTGCCTTGCCCCTGTACTTGCCCGACATTGAGGAGTGGTTGCCTTGCCCTGAACTCGCGTGACACTAGGGACGGGGCGGGAGTACAGTGTCTTGACTATGGGGGCAGGGAAAGGGACGGGGTGCCCTACCTTGAACCCACCCAGTTGTCATTCCTATATAATTGTTAATTATTAATAGAATTAATAAAAATGTTAGTTTTTATAATTATTTTTATTTATTTAAAATTAATCAATATTTTATTTAAAAATAATAAAAAGAATATAACTATTAAAATTACTACAAATTATTAATAAAACTAAATTTATTAAAAATATCTGTTCATATTCAATTAACAATAATTTTTTATAAATCAACATTAAATAAAAAATAAAATTATTAAATCTTTTAGATTTTTTTTTGTGCATCACATGAGTCCCTGCTAATGTAAGATAAAATTTAAGAAAAAATAATTATCGTCTAATCCATGACCCCACTAGTTGGGTCAAATGGTTCCATGGTTCAATTAGCTATAAGCAAGTAGTTTGGTGGTAAATAGACCCAATGTCCAAGTCGGGTGATAGGTTAATCTATCTAACATGTCAAATTGACCATGAGATAAAAAAAAAGAAAAAAAAAACAAAAAATCAATGTTCTAAATTTGATTAGAATCATGCTTTTCTTTGAGTTAAACATGTCAACTTGTGTTGTCACAAATTAAATAATAAAATTAACACAATATAAAATGTTATAAAAACTACAAAATATTTGAACATATCTTTAATATCATATATTTGTTATATTAAACAAAAAATATGTGTAAAAATATTAATTATTGGTGTTAATGCTGGAAATGATTAAATTACACAAAAACTCTTGTCCGTAGCTTGTTGACCTAGTTAAATAGGTCAACAAGTATGATCATCCAATTGTTAACTAAGCCAATTTGTCTAGGGTGACTAGTCAATCAATCCAACTTATCCAATTAAATTAAAAGTTCAAAGCATTGATATAAAGCACAAGTAAGAAGATAAAAAACCCATTCTTTTAAGTTGAAATACAATAAATCCACCAATACACACCATGTTTCTATTACTCATCTATATTATTTAAATATAAAAAATCTATATTATTTGGGTTTTAATAGGGTGCAAATCGGGTGCCTAATTAGAAGAGTTTACATTGCACTGGACCTGGGCTTTTTTGGGCCACAATGACACGCTCATTGAAATTTTAACAATATTCCATCTCTAGCCCAGGGAAGTTGCACCCCTAGGTTTTGATAAGAACATTGATATCATTATCATTATCATCATTATTTGAAATTTCTATGTATTATGCACATGCACATTTATTAATACAAAATAATTAGTCATAATAGCCAATGACAACTTATTTACATGCTAAAAGATACCTAAGTTTTTTTTTTGTTTTCTTCTTTTTTATTATTCCCTTATGTCTGTCGGTAAGACCCGCCATTTTGTGTTTCTCACACATTGTAGAATTTGCAACTATGGTAGCTTAATTATTTCTTTCCTTCATATTCCTTTTCGTTTATAATCTTGATCTGTCATTTTTTTTATTAAATCACCTTAAATGTTGAATTGCATTTTGGATATAATAATGTGGGTATTGGTATTAAACTTATAAGTTGATTTGTCATGAAATGATAACATGCAATTTCTACGATACAAAGATGAAAAAGTAAAATTTTTAATAGTTACTTTATCATAATTTATGCTTTTATGCAATGATTTGCCTATTCAGCCCCCACCCCCCCAAAAAAAGAAGATAAAAAAGAAAATTCTTAGGGTTCTCAATCTCTCCTACAAAGACATGTAGCACCTTAGAATAGGGGTGCAGCCAGGGGGTCGCGGAGGGGAGATATGACCCCCCTATGACTTCAAAATTCTCACAAAATCCATTTAAATTCCACTTATATTTTGATATTCTTATCCATGTTTTTTAGGCTCCATTTGGAAAGAATATAAATGCAATTATGTACAACGTAAATACATATAAAATAATACAAAATATAAGGTTTTGCACTCTATATATTTGCATTTATACTCCTTCCAAACTCAACATGAGCTTTTGGCTCCCCCTATCCATGTTTTCTAGGTTTTGGCCCCCCCTTAACAAAAAATTCTAGCTCCGCCCCTGCCTTAGAAGCTCACCTTATAGGCCTATATGATGGAGGTCCACAAGGTAGGATTTTTTTTTTTTTTTTAAATTTGAGTTGAATTTGGCAGTTTTTTTTTTTTAAGTATGATTAAGCTCTTCTATTTGTCCATTAGGCTGTGTTTGGTTGCAAAGCAAATAAATTTGCACTGATGCAAAACCATGGCATTGCAAATTATTTGAGTGTAAATTCTGACCTATTTTTATTTCAAAATTTAGCTTATTTTGTTTGATTGCAGTACAAATGAAGTAAATTAAAACATGAATAGAACAAAGTAAAATCCAAAACAAAATTAAACAATAATTTGCATTTTTTACATTTGCACTCCCATACATTTGTACTAGCGCAAATAAATTACAACCAAACACAGCATAAAGGTGGCCCTTTTTTTAAGCCATATCCTATAGGTGGAATTCCTCCTACCTACATTAGTTATGTGTTTTGTTATGGTCCTACATGGTTAAATGGCTTGATCTGCCTAGCATGGTTTTCAAAACCGGACCAGATCGGACAGTTGGACCGGAAAATCGGGAACCGGTCACCTGACCGGTTTTGTTTTCCTCCAAAACCGCTTTTTTCCCCAAAACCGTTGATTTTGGTCAGCAAACCACTGAACCAGACGATTAACCGTTTGAACCGTTTTGACCATTTTCCAATTTTTTATTTTATTTTTATTTTTTTTGTCAAAAATGGGCTAACCGTTTGGGTCGAACTGTTGTACCGTTTGAACCGGTAACTGGACCCCCGACCGGTTCAGTCACCGGTTCGTTTTTAAAAACCATGTTGCCTAGTTTCATCAATCATGCAGCTTTTGGATAGGTTGATTTAACCATGGTTTTCAAAACTGGACCGGACCGGATAGTCGAACCGGAAAAACCGAGAACTGGTCACCTGACCAGTTCCGTTTTCCTCCAAAACCGCTTTTTTCCCTCAAAACCATTGATCTTGATCAGCAAACCGCTGAACCAACTGGTTAATCGTTCGAACCGTTCAAACGGTTTTGACCGTTTTCCAATTTTTTAATTTTTTATTTTAATTTTTTTGTCATAATGGGCCAGCCATTTGAATCAAACAGTTGGACCGTTCAAACCGATAACTGAACCCCTAACTGGTTCAGTCACCGATTTATTTTTAAAAACCATAGATTTAACACTTGGTATTAAAGCTTCCTTGTATATATGGATAGGGGTGTCAATGGACCAAATTTGTGTTGAATCTTGTTCGAACCGAAATCAATTTAAATGGATTGGAAAGACCAATAAGATATATTGAATTGGACGAGTCCAAACTTAGTGGTAAAGTATTTATTAGATTGGATTGGACCTTGTGGTATTCATTGTCCCGGTTTCTCTTTTGGCCAATTTCAAGGAACACTATAGTCCCATATAACAATTTTGGACCATGATCGTTTTTGAAACTCTCATGGTTTTCCATGATTTTCCAAAAAAAAATCATAATTTTTGAAACTATCAAAATTATATTTTTTAAAACAAAAATAAATTTTCACTTGTGTGCATGGGTGAATTTGGTCCTTTGATCATCTTGGCGTATTCATTGGCCTCTTAGTAATTTGTGAAATTCTTAACCTCACATGTAAGATCAGTCCTCCAATCCTATATTTTCAGGATCACAAGACAATGAATTGTCACATATTGTGAGTTATCTTTCTCAAGCAAAATGATCTCCAAATCATGCAATATGTTACACCTTTTTGAAGATTGATGTAACCGTTTTTGGTCACGTACCATTTTTTTGTGATGTATAAATTTTTTTGGCTAAGTACCTCGTTATTTGACCCGGTGGTGACGTGCCTTGGTGATGAGCTACTTGGTGGCGAACTCCCTGGTGGGGAATTGCCTGGTGGCGAGCTCCCTGGTGGAGAGCTACTTGGTGATGAACTGCTTGGTGGCGAACTCCCTGGTGGAGAACTGCCTGGTGGCGAGCTCCCTGGTGGCGAACTGCCTGGTGACGAGCTGCCTGGTGGCGAACTGCCTGGTGGCGAGCTGCCTGGTGGCGAACTGCTTGGTGGCGAGCTCCCTTGTGGCGAAACTGCCTGGTGGACTCGTCATTTGACCTGCTCCTAGGCGGCCTGCAACTCAGAGGATGGTGGAGCTCCCCGGTGCAGCGCAACCCGACTACCCTCTGCATGAGGTGATTTCTTCTCCTTTGTAGGCGGTGGGAGCTGAGGGACCTGCGAGAACTGAATCAGAGGACCCGGGGGTATTTTCCTGGCGGGGGCTCTCCGATGCCTAAGTTAGCATTCTGATTACAGAGGGCTTGGAGAGAAATGAGAGAGCTAGAGAGCAGGGGTTACCATCCTTTTTTTCTCCCTCCCTTGGCTTTGGGGGTCGGAGTCCTTATATAGTGGTGTCTCGCGGGTTAGGTGGGTGAAAAGCCTTCAAATGATAAGACTCATCACATCCCGTCAGAACCGGGGTACGGTGGTGAACTCCTCGAGGTTGTCAGGTTGGCGCTTGTGTCAGGCGGCCAGGTCGGCGCCTGTGTCAGTCGGCGGGTCGGTGTCTGGGCCAGGTTGTTAGGTTGGCGCTTGTGTCAGTCGGCGGGTCGGTGTCTGGGCCAGGTTGTCAGGCAGGAGATCTTTTCACGATATGCCAAACTACTAATCTGTACCGAGCTACCCTACAAGTGGCGAGCTGCCCGGGGGAGCTATGCCAAGCTGCTTGTGGCGAGATTTGCGGAGCTGTCTGGCTCCTTGGAGAGCTGCCTAGCTCCTTGGCGAGCTCTTTGGTGAGCTACCGAGCTCCTTGGTGAGCTACCGAGCTCATGGGGTATGTCGTTATGGTTCATTGGTGGGCGTCTTATGGGTTGCCAGGTCGGCCAGGTCAGATCATGTGCCGGGCTGATCCAGGTCGGCCAGGTCGCGCAGGCCGCGTGCAGGCCATGCGCCAGGCCGACCAGGTCGGTGCCCCGATGGGACACCGACTTGGTAAGTTGTTGCCTGGGTGTCGCCTATTTGTCACGAGGTGCCACGTGTCGCAATTTCACTGGAGGGCCAAATCTGCTCTCATCAAAGATGATTTTGCTATTTGAGATCTCCATTTGCCCCAAGCATTACTAGCTTTAACCTCTTCAGCCTAGTAAAGTAGTAAGGACCCACTAACTTTAGTTGGATCCATGCTAGGGTTTCTTCAACACCTTTTTAGTCCCCCAATTGGACCTAAATGTTGATGGGTCAGTCCACTTTTCCACGGTTCACTTTTTTAGAATATCTCAAAATAGGAACCAGTCAAGTCAATGTTTTCTCCATCAGGCAGAATTAATTTTGGACCATTTGGGGAATAAGATGGTAATAGTGTTTGACTTTGTTGCTTAATTGAGGCTTTCCCTTGGGCCTCAGTATGATTTATTAAACAACTTGTGGGTGGAAACCAATTCTTCTTCTTCTTCTTCTTATTATTATTATTTGTAACAAGCGAATTATACGAGAGGGTAGATTGTCCAAAACCCCAATTCCCAAATCCCTAGGTGGGTGTTTGGTATCATGGTGTTGTATGTCTATTGTGATTCTATTTTTGTGATACATCAGTGCCATATAGGTGACTATGCTCGAATCTTGTTTGGTAGGCTGATCAGGTACAAATGTTTTCTACTTTTTGTTTTATCCCGTGTTATGTGAAATTACTTATTGGGGCGTTATTTTTTCAGATTTTGAGAGGGAGGAAAGTTGGTCAATGGGATTTTGGTTCACATAAATCAAGAATTCCATGTTCTTTTTTCAGATTTATGTGGGGGCAAGGGAAAATTTATTTTCCTTGGTATCACTTATCCAGGGGAAACACTTAACTAGGTAAATGCATTTACCCATGTTCTTTTATTTCCCTTATAAGCATGGCAATGACCATTTTAGCTATAAAAATCCAATATTAAAAGGGGAATTTTTGTCCCATTAAAGTGTTGGCAACTTTCCCCACAAGTGGGAAAGTTATTTACCTACCTAGGAGATGGGAATCACTTACCCGAGTAAGTGATACATAGGAAAATAAACTTTCCATGGTCCCCCATATATCTGAAAAAATAACATGGGTTTCTTGGTCAATGGGAATCAAAATCCCATTGACCAACTTTCCCCCCTCTCAAAATCTAGAAAAAGAACACCCCCTAAGTGATACCCATCTCCTAGGTGGGCAAATAACTTTCCCACTTAGGGGGAAAGTTGCCAACAATTGAATGAGACAGAAATGCCCTTTTTAATAATAGATTTTATAACTAAAATGGTCATTACCTTATTTACATGAGAAGTAAAAGAACATGGATAAATGCACTTACTAGGGTAAGTATTTCCTAAGTAAAACTTACCTAAGTAACTGCATTTACCTAAGCAAAAATAACTTATCGAAAAACAAACAGGGTCTGAGAGGAAAAATATAATTTCGACATTTCCTTGCTGTGCTTTCATTTCACTTATGTGGCACTTAATGGCGCTTATGTGTCTTGAAATGGAATAAACAATCGTTATATCACACTTCATTCCCACAACAGCAAATATCACCTAGGAAGGCAGGAACCAAGCCTCCAAGCCTTCAATACAACGAGCGGAAGACATTGCTGAGCCAGTTGTCACCTTTTATGATTAAAATAGTACTTTTGTCCACCCATGCAAATGCTCATGAGAGTGGGGGTATTTGTTGTAGTGATGTTGTTGTCCTGTTATGGATTGATCAATACAAATTTGTGTGAGGATTTTTTTTTACCTGAAACATTTTGAGTTGATGAATACAAATGGCTACTTTCTACTTAAAACATCACAAATATTTCTCCCTACTTTGTATTGACCAACACAAAGATGCAATGACATGCAATGCGATGCCACCATACTAAACACCCCAGAGAGAGAGAGAGAGATGAAGAAGGCCATGGCAATCTTGAATACTGTTATATGATAAAGATATATTGCGTACCATGATTAAGGATAAAATATCAACATATGAGTCTCCACTTGAGAGGATTTGGATCGTATATTTGTTAAATGCTGAAGACTTGAAGGGTCGTGAGTCGACATAGTGAAAACCCTTTATTCTTCTTGATTCTTCCTTCGTCACATAACGAAGTCTTAAGTTGGATTTGCACCCGTATAAACCTGGAGCCCGTTTGAGAGGGCTTCTGTGTTGACTGAGCTTTAAAAAAGCTATCAAAGCACTTCACCGGAAAGTCAATTTCTCAACCCAATCAGCTTTTCGAGGTTTTCACTAAATACAGCTTCAGGCCTACCGTACGTGCAACGCCATAAGCCGCTGAGGGAAAGCCATCCCCGACGAGATCTGGTCATTATTCACTTAATGCTTTTGTGATTCAATTCTTCTACCGTCTCCTCCAGGCCGGAACATATATATTTATTCAAAACCAAATGACAAATTAATTCATTTAATTTGTGCATTAAATAATGCGATTATGCATGAATTAATTTACTTGAATACGCTGCTCGATATTTCCGTATTCACGTTAATACTTGCATTGCGTGGATTTCTTCTCTGCATGAATTAAACCAAAGCAAAACGCAACCACTTGCTTGTAATTTCTAAACCCTTCCCTTCGTTCCACGGGAAACGTATATGAGTATATCGGTGTCCAAGTGAACCGACGGACGTTTTTCTTTTTTAAATTCCGGTCGGACCAAGTAGGGGATCCTTTGGTGGAAGCACGTATGCCACGTGTCGTCATAGTCTCCAATTGTGAGCTGACGAAAATGCCCTCCATTTTGGAGGTTGCAGTTTGAAATTCCCGAGGGTGATTTTGGTCCATCTGTGTCGGAGACGGAGCTGTTTCCGAATTCAGACAGCCTGCCCACATGTGCCCGAAGCACTCGTAACCTTCTCTCATACCAAAATAAAAAAAAATTATTTTCCCGGTAGTTTTGCAAAAATCCCAATTATTTAACGCGCCAGCAGAGGCGAGCGGATACCCGTTTGTCTTGTCGTGCGATGTCGAAAAACCCAAATTCTTTTTAAGTATTAAAAACACGCAATTACAGTTTTGGCCCTGCTTAATTTAGTCCAATGAAATGATAAATTTATAAATAAAATTTTCTTCTCAACAACACTGAGATTCGTCATGGTGAAATTACTAATTACTAAAGGTTGACACCCCGTGGTCGAGGTGCATAATCGGTGCTAATGTCCGTATATGTAATTGTAACGATGGGTATTGAGGTAAACTTAGGAACCCAAAGACAGTATCTATAATGCTCTGGAAGTTATGAAAAAGGAGGGAATGGTGATTTTGTAATTAAGGAGAAACGAAAGCCCAGATTCAGAAAATAGTGAATAATTACTCGCTCATGTCGTCTTTTAGAAGCTGGTGCGGAAGAGGAGAGGCGCTTAGAAGCTGGTGTGGGAGACCACGAATGTCCCACCAGCCTTTCCAGCTGACCAGACAAGTTTAGAGAGAGAGAAAGAGAGAGAGAACAGTAGAGGGAGAAAGATATTGAGCGAACGAGCTTAGAGAGAGAGAAATTCGAAGGTTATATTTGATTTCGTATTTATAAACTCTACGACTTTCAGTACTCGGGGGAGAGAGAAAGAGAGGAAAAAACAATTCTGAAATAGAAAGAAAGGGGAAAAATTTCCGCTTCGTAAATTACCTCGATCTTCTTGAAACAGCCGCGGAGATTCCGAAGCTATAATTCTCTTGTCCCCGATCCGAGTTACTGAATTTCAGTCTACCTTGCCTGTTCATCAGTTATCCTTTCGGATGTGTTAGAGAAGGAGATCGAATCCTTAAAGTCGTCAATGGTATTTTAACAAAAGATGAATCTTACTCAGTTTTCTTCTTTTCAGTTCTTCCTCTTTTGTTGTTTATGTAATCATTGATTTGCTTTCTGAGAGTTATGTCTTGATATTTTGTTTTTTATTTCGGTATGCATTTTTGGAACAAGTTGGTTGAACAAGGAACTAGTTGTTTTGAATTGTTTTGTGTAATTTGAATTTTGTTGTGAAACACTGAAATTGGAACCGGATTCTGTGTTGTTAAGGTCAACTGTTGTCAGGATGGGTATATTACTTGAACCTTGGTGGTAAGTAATCCATGCTCATCTCCAACGTACAAGCTTTAAGGTTTTGATCTGGACGAAATTGATATTGCCTCTTATTAGAAAAAGAAGAAAGAAGAAAGAAGAAAGAAGAAAGAAGAAAGAAGAAAGAAGAAAGAAGAAACGTGAAGTCGATGTAGATGAACTGCGGGCTCTATCAGAGTTTGTCATTGTTGCAGGGAATGTAGAAATATTGTTGCTCTTTGTTTTTTCAGTGGTGTTTGTGTGGGTTCATGTGGAAAAATAAAGTATTCACCGTTCCCTTTGCATGCCCGTGTTCTTATCGTGTTTGGATGCTATATTTGTGCAAAGAATGATTTATGGAAAGCTAAAGAGCTGCTTTGTAAGACGATTTATTCCAAAAAAAAAAAAAAAGAGAAATTGATAAGATGGATTGAAGGTAGGGGTAGTGGGGCATAAACCAGGAGGAAAAGTCACGGGTGCTATATTGAAAAAAAGTGTTAGTATTGTATGAAGTAAGAATACACTGGAGATCAGTTGCAAGCCATAACAAACCAAATTTCCTTAATGTTAATTTTTAATTACTAATGGGTTGCACATGAACATGGATTCAAGTTTTATAATTAATTGACTCATTGAAGAGTATGAGGTATGAACTACTTGAAGAGTATGACAGAGTGCATACACACATATAGACATGGATGTGCTTATGTATGTATTCATGCTTATGTATATTTTCAGGGTGCCTGTTACATGTAAGCTATTCCAGTTAAGTTTCATCATGGAACAATCTTTTTGTTGGTAAATCAAAGTAAAGTTCTGTTAAAAATAGAGGAGGACTACAATGCCAAATGGGGTGATGAGCTAGCACCCCATTTCAATAAGAAATACATACAACAGAAAACAGCTCTGTCATTTAACAAAATGAAATTAGAATCCCAGAAGCTAATTGAAAAGTATCCCCACAGCTCAAAACGGGTTGAAGATCTAAGAAGCCAATAAAATGGTGGGCTGTTTAGCTAGCTATGTTGATTTTGTCTACATACTGGAAAATAACTCATGGGAGGCACAATAAAGAATGAAACTTCTGACATGATAAATGAAAAAACTCCATACTTGTAGCATTTTGGTGCATGTGTAGTGGTAGTAGTGACAATTTGAACTACAACAACAATAACAAAACTGAGGGGCCTGATGGCAAAGTTGATGATACTGCAGAGATGGTGACAACAATGTTTGTGGTGGTAAAGGTGCTGCAGGGGATGATGCTTACTGCAATAGTGCTTGCAAGGTGTTTCGGGCTTGTGATTAGTTAATGTTCTGAATATTGTAATTGTATTGTAAATCATAGTGAAGCTTGAATTGAACTGTGAATCATATAAGTTTACTGCTTTTACTTCAGAACTTGGGAATATATAATCAGGTTTGTCTTGAATGTCAATTAACACACAAATATGATGGGAAATAAACTCAAAGATGTCTTTAAATAGGTTTTTAGATAATAAACAAGTTTTACTCTTTAAAGGTTTTAAATAAAAAAAAAGAAAAGAAATAAGTAGAGAACTAGGACACACACACACACACACACACATATATATATTCAGAAAAATAATTCAAATAGGAATCCTTGGAATTCATGATTTGAATCATGGATTGTATTTTAAATCATAAGATTTTGATCACTATGGTTAGGGTTAGCAATAATTCAGGTTAAAAACCATTATCGTCATCATCATATGGGGTTGACTACATGAATCCTGTCTTTCCATTCCATTCTGTTTAGTTCCATACCCGTTATTAAAATATGAGTGCTTAAATCATTTTTACTACTTCAACTCGTATCATTTTTGGTTTGCTGCTAGCCCTACTAGCCCCTTCAACTTCCAACATATTGCTTCTTCTTATGGGTGCTGAATGGTTCATGTTAAAAATGCTGAACTAAAACCTTACTGATCATTATTGGCTTGAATATGTTAACCTGAATGAGGCAAAAATGTAGATTTTTCTGGATTTCATCTGGCAAAATGTCTACAAATCCTGTATAGTTAGCAAAATGTCCAACCAGAAATGAATTTTTCTTAGACCGGTTTAAATTTTAGGTCAGGGTGAGCCTTAAGGGATTCACTTTGGTGGCAGTGCAGCACTGTGGGTGTTCTCTATTATTAGTGTGGCAGGTGGTAGTTTCTAGAGCATGTTAGGGCTCAATACGTTCTTGATTTGCAAAAGCAATTAAACTTTTTCCCTTCATTCCACTTTCAGATTTTTTTTTGGATCAGATAAGAAATTGCCTCCCCCTCCTCTGTGTACATTTTGATTGTTCACATGTAGAACTTTTAGGGTTTGGTCCTCTATCTTTAGTTTATGTAATTATTGTGGAGCACCTTTAATTGTTTCTTGAAAATTTGGTTGCTTTTGCAGGCAGCACCAGTTAATATTGTTGTTGGTTCTCATGTATGGGTTGAAGATCCTGTATTGGCTTGGATTGATGGAGAAGTTTCACGAATCAATGGTCATGAGATTCATATTACCACTACAAATGGGAAAAAGGTATTAAATTCCATTTTAATTTTTAGTTTGCCTCTCATTTTAATTTTTAATATGAGATTCATATTACCACTATGCACCTGTCATTATCTGGAACAGTGGCTATGTTGGCACTTCCTATCTTCACATTATCAACCTTCTTTTGGAAACGAGGTGGAAGGAGTTCCGGGTGCAGTTTCCAACATTTATCTTTTGTATGTTTTGGTTAAGTACTCACACACAACTTCCCTTTTTCCTGAACCACTTGAACTGCTTGTAGTCACCTTCGGTTTCAGCCCTATATTGGCAAAATGGTCACTTGGGATGGTCCCTTGAACCTGGACCAGCCTCCTGCTCTCTTCACTACTCACCGTGGCATAGGCTTGAGACAATGATGCATTATCCTTGGCTAAGATATTCTGTCTGGTGATGTCAAACTCGGGATTCAGCCCTGTCAAGAATTCAAATACCCTGTTTCTCTCAACTAATTTCTTGTAAGTTTCATCATCATTAGTACTTTCCTAGATATCAATTTCCATTAGGTCTATCTCTTGCCACAAAGATTTCAACATTTAGAAGTAAATGGCCAAAGGTCTCTCCCCCTGTCTTAAATTATTCACATCACTCCTTAATTTATATGCCCTGGCCACATTCAGTTTTTGTGAATAAGTTTCAGCCACACTATCCCATATTTCCTTGGCTGAATTCATCCATAAATAATGTTGACTGATTTGTGGTTGCATTGAGTTCACTAACCATCCAATGACGGTATATTTCTCTTGCATTCATTTTTCATAAGATGGGTCATCTTCCGGAGGAGCTTTCTTGCTCCCGGAGATATACCCCCACTTGCCTCTGTTGCAAACATGAATTTTTACTGACTATGACCATGCTAGATAGTTGGTTCGATCCAGCTTGACTGTGGTCACAGCCAATAGAGAGTCAACGGAGCTCCTAGAACTTGTCTGGATTCACCCCACACTTGTTTTCAACTTCCCAAATATCCATCTTCCTCAAACAACTCCAACAGAACTTCAAATAGCTTTCAATGACAAGCAAGGAAGACAGGAAAAAATAGACACCAAGTACCAACCTCTATGAAGTCGAATTTGCCAACTGCATCTCACCCAGAACTCGGGAGAAATCAGAAAACAACAGCCGACTCCCTGTAGGTTTTGCAAAACACCACAAGACTTGAATCGATCTTCAAGAAAAAGAGAAAGGACCCCTTCAATCATTGAGCGCCAAGATGAAGCTCCCTGTGGGGCCCACAAACAGAATTCTCCAGTTGATTAAGGTTTTGGGCAAAAAACTCCAGGGACTGTCAGAATGATGACCAAGATAGCATCATTTTCTCCAAAAATCCATTAAAGTTTCTTCAATCACTCATTCAATTCAGCTGTCCATACACACTGTGTATGGGAAAAAAAGAGAGAAAAAAGGAAAAGGAGAGCCTGTTCTGATACCAAGAAGAAAAACAGTCCTAAGGAATGAAAGGATTGATTTAAAAGTTGTGAAAATATGTTAGATATCAGCAGAAAAGAGAAAAGGAGAGGAGCGAAGAAGTTGGTGGCAAATAGGGTTTAGAGAGAAGACTTTCAAATGTTCTCTCTTCCCTAATCCTTTTCATTAAAACATAATTTACAAGTTTTGATATTTACAGAGAGGCCCTTAATTGGGCAATTAACTTAAATAAGCATAACATAAAAAAGGCCCATTAACAACATAAACAAAAACATAAACAAATAAAAGCATCCTATGGCCCATTCGGCCCATTCTCTCTACATTATCTAGATCACAGGCTGTTTAATTTTTTACCAGAACCTAAGTTTACCTCAATGTTATGAAAAAGGCCATTACATCAATGTTTTATAGTCTTTATTCTTGTCTAGATTATAACTTGTTCAGTTTTTCCACATCCAAATTCACTTCAATATCCATTTAATCATTTTGAAGCACTTTTCTGCTTGAATACGATCTTTTTATCATATTACTAGAATTAGAACAAGGTTGTTGAAATTAAGAGGTGTGTCCAGTGTCATGTGTAACATGTATAGGCCAATGAGGCTGACAAGAAAATTTTATAAGGTGGATGTAAGATTAGAATATTATACAGATTGAAGTGTTGGGCAATCAAGAAACATGTCCAAAAAAACTTAACTTAGATGGATGAATCACAAGACGACAAAGGATAGAGTTGGGAACAGACACATCCGAGGACTTAGGAGTAGAACCAATTGGTGACAAGATGAGGGAAAGTGAATTGAGATGGTTAGTTCATGTGCTTAGATATCCAATGATTGCACCAATAAAAAGGCATGATTTGGTATAAGTAAAGCCTATAAAAGAGCAAGGGAAGGACCAAAGAAAATATGGAATGAAGTAGTAATAAATGATCTTAGGACTTATGATTTGACAGAAAACATAGCTCTTGATAGAGCACAACAGTGAGACAGAATTTATGCAACTAACCACAGTAGGGATTAAGCCTGAGTTTTCTTGAATCTGATCAAAGATATTTTTTCTTCTTAATTGGTTAAAGGTAAAATTCCCACATACTGAAAAAATGGGCTGTGTGGGACAACTACACAAGCCACAATAACTAGCTGACAGAATATCAAAACAATGAATAAGATGTACCAAATAGTCTCATAACTGAAGACTATTAAAAGAGAAATTAATCTCATAACTGAGCCTCCAGACCTGAGTGCCCCCCTCTAACAGATATTATCTCCCAACCATCCTCTTGCAAGAAAATTGGCAAGGGTGAAGAAAGATGTGAAGGTGTGTGGGGTAATCCAGCCCCACCTAGGGTAGAAGTAGTCACATGGTTGGTGGCTATGAATAGTGTCCTTACCATAGATCATCTTAAGTCCAGAGGCTTTTGTATGGCAAGTATCTGCCTGATGTGCAGGGAGAGTGAGGAATCAGTTTTCCATTTGTTCTTCTCGTGCAGGTTGGCAGTTGGCTGGACTTTGCTGGAAATGTTATTCAGATCTGTTCAGCATGCAATTGTTTCTCCCCAGTAGGGCTGTAAACGGATCGGATTCTGATTGGATTAAAAAAGTCTGAATCCAATCTGATTATTGAAATCTTGCATCCGAATCCGGTTAGATTTGAAGATCTCGTATTAGAATTTGAATCCTAATGGACTCGGACAGGATTCAGATTTAATCTGACTCCTCTTTAGTGTTTTAAAATACAAAACATTAAAAAGTTAATTACTTTTCAAATTTTATATATAATAAATTAATGTAATTATGTAATTACAACATGCTGAGTTTATCATATATATATAAATTCATATAAAATATAATATATAAAAATATATTTTATAATTTTAAATGTAATTATATAAAAATCATATACTAAAATTAATGATTATTATAATATAATTGGATTCGGATTTGAATCGGATCACATGGATTCAAATCCGAAACTGATCCGATCCGATTATTAATTGGATGCAGATTGCAAAATCCGAATATGTTCTGTTTACAACTCATCATCCAAATCTGTGATAATTGGACCAGATGTGGGATTGGGCCTCGAATTTTCAGGTATCATTGACAGGCCTACTCCTCAGGTCTCCTGCTGAAATCTTCTCTAAGTGGCCGTCATTTAGGGGAAGCAAGAAAGCTAAAATAGTGTGGAGTTGCTTACCATTTTCTGTCTGCTGGTCCATCTGGAGGGAAAGAAACAGGAGAGTGTTTGAAGATATGCAATGGGAGTTAGAGAAGATTGTGGCATCTATTGGAAGGGCTGTCACTGATTGGGTGATCATTTTACCTGAATTTTCTCAAGTGAATGCTTCAGACTTAGGGTCTAATTTTTGGAATGTTATTGAAATTCATGAATGTAATCCTGAGAATTTTCTGTAATTGGCCTCAAGTGTCCTCTCAACACTAGACTGTTTGTAATGATGTTTTTTTTCTTAATTTTTATTTTAATGAAAATTTCCTGTTATTATAAAAAAATATAGGAAAATGGCTGTCTAAACATATTATTACATTTTAATCTTGCTATTTTCTCTGTGAATATGGTTCAGTGATCTGATCAAGTGGCTGAATGTGTGCAGGTTGTTGCCAATATATCTAAAGTGTTTCCAAAGGATACAGAGGCTCCACCTGGAGGGGTAGATGATATGACAAAGCTTTCATATTTGCATGAGCCTGGTGTCCTTCAAAACTTGGCTACTAGATATGAACTTAATGAAATCTATGTGAGTCTCATTAAATAATTTCTTACTTTCAATATAATATGAGAAAGCTCTCATACAGCATCTTGTTGCGCATGAGCTTTTGTTTCTTCTAATATAATATGATACCTTACCATCTTTCTAGAAAAAAAAAAATTCGAATGAAATAGAATGGGCAAGTTGTAAATAGTTTATATGATATGCTAACATTATTTTTCTTACCTTGCAGACATACACTGGCAACATACTAATTGCAATAAATCCATTTCAAAGATTACCTCATCTTTATGATACTCATATGATGGAACAATATAAAGGAGCAGCATTTGGGGAACTAAGCCCTCACGTTTTTGCTGTTGCAGATGTTGCATACAGGTGACTCTTACTTCTCTCAAATATCACATTCTTTTGGGTAATACTTGTATTCATACGTGGGTTTTCATAAGAATATAGGGCAATGATCAATGAAGGGAAGAGCAACTCTATTTTGGTTAGTGGAGAAAGTGGTGCTGGTAAAACTGAGACCACAAAGATGCTTATGAGATATCTTGCATACTTGGGTGGGCGATCTGGAATAGAAGGAAGAACTGTTGAACAACAAGTTCTTGAAGTAAGATGAAGTTATCTTGCTTGTCTTGTACCTTTAAATTTGTGAATTTTCTTTTCTGAAATTCATTTTATTTGTCTTTCTTTTTTGTGGGAATTAAAAGATTTTGCATTGATGACCAAGTTGTGTTTGGTTGTTGATGAATTGCAGTCAAACCCAGTTTTGGAAGCATTTGGCAATGCTAAAACTGTTAGGAATAACAACTCAAGGTGAGAATTTATTTCCTCTGGAGCATGTCCTAGTAGGAAGTTATGATTCACTGTTTTTTTCGTTTTTACTTTTGATTATTTAAACCAGTGATGAAAAACTTTATTGAAGTAATAAAAAACCAGATGTACAGGAAAAGATAAAAAGAAAATACATTGGTAAATAGAAGAGCGGTTACAACTGGTTGTGTCAACTAAGGAAGAAGGAGAAGGGACAACTGCTTTAGCAGGTTATTGGTGGAGTGTAAAAGAAGAGGAGGGGCAAAAAAGACAAGAATTTTAGGGGTCTTACGGGAACTTTTCTTTTGTCTTCGAGGAAGGGAGAACAGGCTTCAACAGCCTCTCAGAGCAGGAAGCGGGAACTGTCCAACAGTGAGGGTTGGATTTGGGTTGTTACGAGATATAAAGGGGATGCGAAGCTTATGGTTTGGGAGGGAGGGAAACCGAAGCTCCTTCAAACAGACACAGCCAAGAGTGAAGAGGGAGAGATCTCTGCAGCACCAAGAAGAAAGAAGTCTCTAGTGAATGACAATCATGCTCCAGAGACAATTGTAACAAAGGTTACAACTGTTTCTGGAGTAAGGGAGGAAGAAGTTGGGGTGGAGACAGTAGACAAAGGCAAAGAGGATGAAGTGGAGGCGTCTGTAACTTCGAACGACAAAGCCCTGCCTCTGGTAGGGATCGAGGTAGTTCCAGGTAGATTTGAAGATGTTTTTAGTTGGCAGGAAGTGAGTGAGCTCAACGAGGAAGGCCTATCCCCCAGCTCTTTCCCTCGTCGTTCTTCTCCCGTGGAGCATCTCCTGTCTCTGCCCCACCTCTGTTTTGGGGTAATGCTGGGGCTGTTTACAAAAAGAAAAGGGGGGGGGTGAAGGAAACGAGTAGAGTCTATAATACGAAGAAAAAAACAAAGAAGCTTGGGGAGAGGAAGCAGGGGAAGGAGGGAGCTGGAGTGGAGGAGCTGAGGGATGAGGCAGAAAACAATCAGGAAGAAAGAGAGAAGGTGGTAGAGAGGAAGGAGACATCAGTGGGTAAGAGAAAGGTGGGTATCAAAGAGCTAGTAAAAAGATAGATAGAGGTAGCCAGGTAGGTAAAGCCTTGGGTCTGTTTTTTCTAGGGGGAGAAACAAGAAGGAAGAGATAACAGGGGAGTTGCTGAAGGAGGGGAAGAGGGGGAGGGGAGACACGCAGGGCTGACGGAAGAGGAATAGTAGGGCAGATAGAGGGGGAGAGGGGAGCTGTGGAAATGAAGCTTCTATCTTGGAATGTAAGGGGTCTAAGAGATGGGAAGAGGAGAGAGGTGGTCAAGAATCTTCTGAGAAAACACAATCCGGATGCTGTATTGTTGCAGGAAACAAAATTGGAATCTTTTGATTTAAGGTTGAAAAATGAGATATGGGGGTCTGATAGAGGAGAATGAGCTGAGGTGGATGCAGTGGGTCACTCAGGGGGTATGGTGGTTTTGTGGGACCCAAGCAGCATGAGGAAGATAGGGGAAAAGAAAGGGAAGTTTACCATATCGATATGTTTTCAGATGGTGGAGGGAGGGTGGCAGTGGGGTTATCTTGTGTGTATGGGCCAAATACAGAAGGAGAGAGAGGGGAGTTGTGGGAAGAGCTGGAAGAGGTAAGAAGGGGATGGGGGGGGGGTCAATGTAGTAAGAAGGTTAAGGTTGGGGGAGCTTGGGGGGGGAGGGGGAGGGATGGAGAGGAGAGTGTGACAATGAGGAGGTTCAGTAATTTCATCCGAAGAAATGGCTTAATTGATCCACCATTGAATGGCTGTAGGTTCACATGGAGGAATGGGCAAGATCCACCAATTCTAAGAAGACTTGACAGATGTTTGTATTCTGGGGACTGGGAGGAACATGTAGGAAATCTGATTCAAGAAGCCCTGCTTTTTCTAATGTCAGATCATAAACCAGTCTTGTTAAGGCAGTTTGTCAGTCAATTAAAAAAGGAGGATTTTGGGAGTGGGTTAGGAGAGGTCCTGAGATATCAAATATGTAATGCAGAGCCTGTTATCTAGTTTGTTAGATGGCTCTTTTGTTTTGTTTGGTTTTCTTTGTTCTCGGGTGCTGTCTTATCATCCTCTTTTTGTAACTTCTTTTCTTTTAAAAAAATTCTTGTCATTTACTAATAAAAAAAAATCAGGCTGTGCGTGTCCTAGAAACGACCTGTAAATAGGAAGAGAACTCTCTAAGGGCAGAATGGTTGGCTATGATTCAAGGAGTACAAAAGGCAAGAGATATGAAGATTGGAAAGGTGGTGGTAGAAGGGGACTCTAAGGTGGTGGTGGGCTGGTTGAGGAACAAGGAAGAAGTTCTGTGGAGGTTTAGGAATGAGATCAAGAAGCTTAAATAGTTAACTGGAGGAATGGTGCAAGTGCAATGGGTTCAAAGAACAGGCAATGCTTTGGCCGATAATCTGGCTAAACAAGGGGTGAATTTTTGAGCCAAGTTGTAATTGTATCATAATTATATCTTAAAGGGGAAGAGAAAGCTTGTTTTCTCTTCATCAATATATATTTATTTTTATCAATGAAATGTGTTCACATTATCTATCAAAAAAGGAAAGAAAAGAAAAAAAATGGCTTGTAAATCTGGGTTTAGAAAAGTATGTTGCAAAGTGAGAACCTTGAAGCTGATATCCAATGTGCAGCCAAAGGCCCTCAAGCTAACTTAGCAAGCTCGGAGTGATATTATAATATAAGGCACACCTCTATAAGAATTTTCACTGTATTTCTATCCAGAGTCTAGACTAGCCTATATGTTCTTTGTTGATAAACTATCTTAAAATTATTTCTTTTTGCATTTTATTTTGTTTAATTTATAGCTTATCTTGTTCAAATACTAATCATATTTTCTCTTTATGTTCATTGTGGTATTACTTTGAAGTCGTTTTGGTAAATTTGTTGAGATACAATTTGACAAGAATGGGAGAATTTCTGGGGCAGCCATTAGAACCTATCTTCTTGAAAGATCCCGTGTTTGCCAAATATCAGATCCTGAGAGAAACTACCATTGCTTTTACATGCTTTGTGCAGCACCACCTGAGGTATATACATTTTAACTTTTTTTATTTTGAGTTCATGCTATTGTCCATTTTGCTTTGATATATTCCAATACAGTTTTTATAGTTGCAAAGGTTATTTGTCAACATGCTAAGGTTGCAATTTAAGTTTGCAGGATACAGAGAAATATAAATTGGGAAGCCCTAAATCGTTCCATTACTTGAATCAATCCAATTGCTATGTGTTGGATGGAGTAAATGATGCCCATGAATATCTAGCAACTAGAAGGGCTATGGACATTGTTGGAATTAGCGAGCAAGAACAGGTGAACCTTCCCAGTGATTCTAAGTTCCAAGAGAAAATTGTTTGGACCCCTTTTGATGGTTTGATCAGATTCCTGATCTTAAATGTTTCCTACAGGAGGCAATTTTTAGGGTTGTGGCAGCAATTCTTCACCTTGGTAATATCAATTTTGCTAAAGGAAAGGAGATTGATTCCTCTGTTGTGAAGGATGAAAAGTCTAGATTCCATCTTAAAATGACAGCTGAACTTCTGAAGTACATCCAATCCATTCCATATCTGTATTTGAAATATTTGCCTGTTTTGTTTTCTTGGTTGTTTGATTATGTTACTTTGGGGTTCTACCCTTCCTGTGAGGAACCAAGGGTGGCTGGGCAGATGACTCAGTTTCTTACTCCTAAAGAGGAGTATATTTTAGCTATTTTTACCTATACTTAGTTTTCTAATAAAGCCTCTTGATTTGTGAATGATAAAGAAAATAATGTTTCTACTAACCTATGTTGCCTAACAGGTGTGATGCCCAGAGCTTGGAGGATGCTCTTATAAAGCGTGTCATGGTGACACCTGAAGAAGTTATTACAAGAACTCTTGATCCTGTGGCTGCATTGGGTAGCAGAGATGCTTTAGCTAAAACAATATATTCACGTCTATTTGATTGGTAAGAGCTTAAATAATACTCCCTCCTATTCTCTCATCTTGGACACAAGCTTATGGGCTTAGTCTTGCAAAGTGGTTTCTTAGAATGTTTTTAGGTTATATAGTTTATATATTTTTACAGGATTGTGGAGAAAATCAACATTTCGATTGGGCAGGATCCAAACTCAAAGTCATTAATTGGAGTTCTTGATATTTATGGTTTTGAAAGTTTTAAGTGCAATAGGTAAGGCATTAGATGGAAATTCATTTTGAAAAAAATCTTTGATGCTAAACAATTGTCAAAATAAGAAAACTTGGCTGGTTTTTGACATGCTTGTCATTTCATGTAAAACAGTTTCGAGCAGTTCTGTATCAACTTTACAAATGAGAAGCTACAACAACATTTCAACCAGGTTAGCTTGCTTAGTCAGTTTACTTATTTGGAGATTGCTTGTTGTTTGCTTTAGTAAATTTATTTATTGTGGTTTTCTGTTTGTAGCATGTCTTTAAAATGGAACAAGAAGAATACACCAAGGAGGAAATCAATTGGAGCTACATAGAGTTTGTTGATAACCAAGATGTTTTGGATCTGATTGAGAAGGTATTAACTATGTGATATATAATACACAACAACATACTTGTGGGATATGCAATTATATTCTCCATATATGAAAATATAAAAGTTCGTCATATTTTGAAACTTATACTGTTGCATTCTGACCATGAAAATTGATAAGTTCCATACTTGTGCAGAAACCTGGAGGGATAATAGCACTTCTAGATGAAGCTTGGTATGCAGTTATTATTCCATTACTCCACTCTACTTTGTTAATGGTTCTTTCTTAGTAGCATGTAGAAGTATTATTCATATATATGATAGCTTGCATCCTTTGATGGATGGGAGGGCTTCTTCTTACACTTATGTCTATTTAATTGCTTCATGCAGCATGTTTCCTAAGTCTACACATGAAACATTTGCCCAAAAGTTGTACCAGACATTTAAGAATAACAAGCGTTTTATCAAGCCAAAGCTTTCTCGTACTGGTTTCACCATAAGTCATTATGCAGGAGAGGTAATTATATAATTAACTTTTTCTTTATGTGATACAGGAATTGCAAATTTTCCTGAACCTTCTAACATTTTGCAGGTAGCATATCAAGCTGATTATTTTCTTGAAAAAAACCGAGATTATGTGGTGGCAGAACATCAAGATTTATTGACTGCTTCAAAGTGCTCATTTGTGGCGGCTTTATTTCCTCCACTTCCAGAGGAATCATCAAAATCATCTAAGTTTTCTTCCATTGGATCACGATTCAAGGTACTCTTGGTTCACTTTCTTCCTGATTTTACTTCTTTCAGATGGAACAATTAGCATGACACAAATTAGCGCTTACATGTTTCAGTTATAATTAATAAAGCTTGCAGGACAAGGAATCCCTACAGCTCAGAATTGGAATGGTCTATTCCCATAGTCTGTTTGGGTCAAACTGGAATTGGAATTGGAATTGGAATTGGATTTAGCTGAAATGGGATTTCATTCCCAAGGGATGGGGGGATGGCCATTCCCTCAAATGGGGGAGTGCCATTCTAGTGGAAATGGGAATGGGATTCTGCCCAACCAAATAGTTGGAATCAGAATGACCCATTCCAATTCTGATTCTGGACTCCTATTCCTGCAAACCAAACAGATTCTTAGCTGACGACCTTGCAAAACAAGGGGTAAACCAGGAACAACTGTTTTGAGGGACTAGAAATGAAGCTTGCATGTAAATCATTATCATCATCATCCAAACCTTATCCCAACTATATGGGGTTGGTTACATGAATTCTTTTTTCACCATTCTGTTCTGCTTCTTTACTGTTATCTATAAAGATAAAAAGGCCCTTGCATTTGATTGGTGGAACTATCAGCTGTGATGGAGCAACAGTGCCACCCTTAAGTTTTATGAGCTTTGTATCTTTGCACCCTTTTCAAAGTGGCACCTACACTCATGACATAATTAGGGCCTATTGTCAAACTAATTATACAATTTAAATATGTATGGACATGTCACTTTCTCATTTTTCTTTCTAAAGCCTGTCTGCTAATAACAGTGACAAATGTATAGTTCATTATACATTCTAAATTTTATTAGGGGTTTTTATTGTTCAGTCCACCCATAAACTTTAGTACAGTTGGAACTGTAACAGGTGGGGGAATGAAACAAAATTCAAGGGGGNAGGTGGACTGAATTCTAAATTTCCCATTTTATTAAGATAATAGTATATAAAGAATGTTGTACAAAGTGATATAACCCAAAGCATCCCTGCAAGGGCCATGGGGGAGTGAATCAAAATTTAAGGGGGGAGGGGGTAAAACCTAATAAAAATCCCTGAGGCAGACTGAACTCTAAATTTCCCATTTTATTAATAGAATAGTATACAAAGAATGTTGTACAAAGTTATATAACCCAAAACTGCCCCCCCCCCCCCCTTTTCCTTTATTAGAAATTCCCCTCCTAGGGAATCATTCCCCAATACAAAATTCCCTTCTAAATTTTTTGGTCTTAACACCTAAAGAAGGAAAAAAATTGCTTGGGCTATTTCTATGTGGTCTTCTATGCATGGCTCTGCCAGTCTGCCATGACACTGGACAAATTTTCCGAGTCACAATACCAGCTTCAACTTCATCTTTCTCCTTTTATAGTATTTTGGAAAGTCTTGTCTAATTGTCTGCCATATACAAGCCTATTCTTCTTCCTTTCTTCTTCTTCTTGTTCTTCTATTTTGCCTTTCTTCATATATCGTTTTCATTTCCTTCTCAACTTTGTGAAACCCAATCGCATGTGCTTTTAAATGTCATCTTATGGATAGTGGTCTTATTTTATCTCAGTGATGCTGTTTATGCCATATATCAGTATTCAGTAACAACCCTCTACTTGTCCTTGCATCTAATTATCACCATCAATTTTTCATGTCAAGTAGATGGACAACAACTGTACTTCAATCTGGTTTTATCATGTTGCATTGGCACAAAGTACTAACATGGCCTCAGACTTTCATTGAATTAAAGACATGCCAAATTCAACTCTTTCAATTACCAATGACAATATGAGTGCATCTAATAGCTTGTCAAATTTCGAGGGATCTTCTTTGGTTTTTGATTAGGTCTGGTTTGTTGTGGTAGTCTGTTCTTAGAGTCATGTTAAATTTCGGTGTTGTAAGGTGGGTCTCTCTCTCTCTCTCTCTCTCTCGGGTGATATCTTATCATCTTTCTTTTGTCTTCTTTTTTCTCTTTTATAAAATTTTATTTTATTATAAAAAAGTAGTTTGTCAAATTGATCGTCTTGTTTTTTGGATGCTAATGTGGTTTGAATTGACATAAAATATGTGAACCTTTCACTCCTTCTCACTTACTCTCCCACTTGTTTGATTGATTGATTGATTGATATATATATATATACAGAGAGAGAGAGAGAGAGAGAGAGTATACATGGAGTATAGAACGACAAGCCCAAAGTTCAAATTCAAAACCAAAGGCAGACAGAAAACAAAAGCAACCAATGCAATTCAACACCTCCACCCCGTTTTTTTCTCTCATACCCAAAATACCAACTCCCAAATCCTCCTGCAGCCTGCAAGGCACATTAGAACCAAAAAACCTTCTTTAATGCCTTGACTCTGCATTCACATAGAAGTAGGGCCACCATTATCAGTTGCTTATTTAACTTTTTAATTGAATTTAAAGAGAAGTTATCAGGTCTCCTAACCTTTTTTATATTCCCAGATTAAAAACACAATCAATAACTATTCATGGGCATAGAGTTTTTTGGTGCCTTTGTTTGTAGTCCGCTGACTTTCTGGTGTATAAGCTATTGTGTTTTCTAAGTGATTGAACTAAAGTATATATATGTCAACTTGCATCTCTGAAACATCTCAAGAAAATATTTGACCCAAAAAACTTTTTGCAATTGCAGCTACAACTTCAATCCTTGATGGAAACCTTGAGTTCAACAGAACCTCACTACATCAGATGTGTAAAGCCAAATAATGTCCTCAAACCTGCTATTTTTGAGAACTTCAACATCATCCAACAATTACGTTGTGGTGTAAGTTTAATATGAAGAAGAAAATTTTTTACTTACCTTCTTTACTATCTGCTGTTTCATATAAAATATTTCTTCTTTCTTTAAGCAAAATCTTTTTGGTTATATGACCATCCTTGTAGGGTGTTCTTGAAGCAATTAGGATAAGCTGTGCTGGATATCCTACTAGAAGGACATTCTATGAATTTCTTCATCGTTTCGGTGTTCTTGCTCCAGAAGTTTTGGAAGGAAAGTAAGTCTTGTAGTTCTTTCTTCAATTTATGTATTCAATATGGTGGGTACAAAATTTTTCCTGGATTTCCTCCCACTGTTTTATAATCAAATGGCCTTTTTTCTTCTACAGTTATGATGACAAGGTTGCATGCCAAATGATACTAGAGAAAAAAGGATTGAAAGGTTATCAGGTGATCCCAACATTCCTGCCAACTCGTAATTTTGTTCATACTACTCAAAGGGTTACTATAAATCTTACAATGATTTCTAATGCCGTTTTACTCATGGTCATATGCAACATCTGTGTTGAAAATCTTTTGTTGATCAATATCCTAAGTGCTTTTATATTTTTCCTAGTTAGAGAAGTATTTGTCATAAATGTGAATGCATAGAAATTATCTACAATGTATCAAGCTACTAGGGTTTTCTCATTTGTACTTGTTCTATATGGTTGGTTGTGCTGACAGTTAGGCAAGACAAAGGTGTTCCTGAGAGCTGGTCAGATGGCTGAATTGGATGCACGAAGAGCAGAGGTGCTTGGAAATGCAGCCAGAACTATTCAAAGACAAATTCGTACATATATTGCTCGGAAAGAGTTCATCTCCTTAAGGAAAGCTGCTATTCATTTGCAATCTCATTGGCGAGGTACTTCTTGTTTTGTTTCATTTCATACCACATATGATCCCATAAATAGTTGTTTTTTCTGATCTCATTGAACATTTCATTTTGTTTACTAAGCAGGAGCATCGTGTGACTGATCCAATGCTTAACACTTAAAGATTGCTTCTATATAATTAAGATAAACCGATGTGTTGATCTTACATTTTCATATGAGATGTGACAGTGTGACTCTAGAAGACTGACTCTTATGTTCATTCAGAAATTGTAATTCTGAAAGTTGTTGAGTTCGTACTTGCTACTAAGTTAATAGGATATATCAATATACATTAAATATGACAATATTAGTTTTGCTAACAGTACACAAGATTAGGCATTTGAGAGGCCTCTTTTGTGGCAAATAGCTGAGAAAATTCTTTTCCTATAAAATCAAATGCCTTCTTTATGTTCTTCTCTAAACTACATTTCTATATACTTTAACAATCATTTTGTTCCTATCCTTTGTAGGTAAAATGGCCTGTAAACTGTATGAACAGTTGAGACGTGAAGCAGCTGCTGTGAAGATACAGAAGAATTTCCGTTGGTATATTGCCAGGAAGTCCTTCATAAGACTACGATTGTCTGCAATTACATTGCAGACAGGCTTAAGGGCAATGACTGCACGGGATGAATTCAGATTACGCAAGCAAATTAAGGCTGCTATAATTATCCAGGTAGCATAGCTCTGAATTACTTGAACATAACTTGACAAAAAAACTTGCTATTATATGCTTTAAGCAAACATTAACGCTCCAGTTGTTGCAAAAGTGGGTTTTATTGTTTTTAAATTTGAGTTGTGGATGAATTGTTGTTAGTGGTGATGATCATGAATTGTTGGTTGCTTAGGCTTACTGGCGTTGCCACAGAGATCATTCATACTACAGGAGTCTTCAGAAGGCAGCTCTCATTTCTCAATGTGGTTGGAGACGAAGAGTTGCTAGGAGAGAGCTCAGGAAGCTCAGAATGGTTTGATCTGATCCTTTAGTGTGGTTTTCCACATGGCCCATAGTTGTAACGATTCATGTATTTCCATTCAAATTGGTAATTTTTCATTCATATTCTCAGGCTGCAAGAGAAACAGGGGCCTTAAAAGAAGCGAAAGACAAACTAGAAAAACGTGTGGAGGAACTTACATGGCGCTTGCAGTTTGAGAAGCGATTAAGGGTAGAGATGTCTTATCTTTAAGTGATGGAATTAAGGCTTTTGTGGCTATGGAGACTATCCATACAAATGCTATTACAGTAGATTTACAACACAACTTCTCTTCATTCACTTACAGACTGATCTAGAGGAGGCAAAGGCCCTTGAAATTTCAAAGCTACAGGATGCTTTGGATGCCATGCAAATACAAGTAGAAGAGGCAAATGCCAAGGTTATCAAAGAACGAGAGGCAGCTCGGAAAGCTATTGAAGAAGCACCTCCAGTCATTAAGGAGACACCAGTAATAATTCAAGATACAGAGAAGGTTGATGCATTAACTGCTGAAGTTGAAAAGCTAAAGGTAGAGCTGCTAAGCTTGAATGAGTTATGCTATCTTATGGTCTTATTGTTACATTACCTCCAATGAATTTTTCTTCTGAGGATTATCATTAGGAAGACCTTCCAAGAGTAATTATTACTCTCCTCACAAGTTACTGAGTTTAATAGATGTGTGTTATAGATACAAGTGTAAGAGTTGGTAGACTCGTCAAGCATTGCCTCCTACTGCATTAGCTATTATATAATCAAGTAATCCAATCCAGGAAGTAATTTGAATCTGCAGTAGTATAATTGTAGAAGGTTCCGTTCCTCTATTTTTATATGTTTTCGTACCCTTTTTCTTTTTCCTTTTCTGTGCATGGAATCCATGTATAGAAAGCATATGCATGAAATTCTCAACCGAGTTGTTGGATCCTTTGACAGAACATAAAGGATCTCAATATCTTGTTTACATTAATTATGGTACATTAAACTTGAGCGGTAAAGAGCTTCTCATATAAATTTCCTTTATGCATTTGGAGTTCTAGTGCTTCATTTTGTTGACTCAAATTCAACTTGAACAAGCTTGCCTTGAATCCTCTTCATATAGAAGCATTGGAAGTTGTGGCATTTAGAAATTTTATTAGTTTCTTTCATCCTTCAGAAGGCCTAGGATATTGGTTTATGAGCTTAATTAACAAATTATAATTACCGCCAGAAGACAACCTTATGTGGGCCACATTTGCCTTACTAAACTTTTGTTATTGCTACAGGCTTTGTTGACATCAGAAAGGAAGACAGCAGAGGAGGCCAAGCAAGCCTATGCTGATGCTCAGGCTAAAAATGTTGAGCTGACCAAGAAGCTTGAAGATGCAGAGGGAAAAGTGGATCAACTTCGAGATTCTGTCCAGAGGTATTTATCATGATTTGAGAAATGAACTATGTGGAAATTTTATAGTTCTTTCCTTTTGTTACATTTAGCATCTGAAGAACCAATGACTTAGTTTGTGCTCATCTGTGTTGGCTCAACTCTTTAACACTTGTCCCTTCCACTGTTTACACCCCACCTTTTCCCAAAATCCATACCTTGTCTGTGGCCCATGTGGGAGTAATTGCAACAATGAGGTCCTGATTTACCATAACATGTCATATATGCATGTAACTTTAAGTTGATAACTTTTTAATATTTGCAAGATTTGCCTTTTTTTTTTCCATCTTGCTCCATGAGTAATCTGGAGCTGAAATAAATTTCGTGTTCCATCTTTATCAGCAATTTGTTTTCAACTCTTTCTAATTCTTTGAACTGCTGACATGCTTACTCATATGAGCAAAACTGATCCCTGCTCTCTCTCTCTCTCTCTCTTGCACACACACACACACACACATGCGCGCGTGCACATGAATGTGCAATCCCAACAAAATATGTTATGAGTTTTTAGAACAAAAGTAAGACTTACCGAAATATAATGGGATGGATGAGTGCTCTCTCTCTCTCTCCCTCTCTCTCTCTCTCTCTGGGGCAATTGAACATTTTTGAGTTTTACTCCTGTGGTTCAGGTTTGAAGAGAAACTTTCTAATATAGAGTCAGAGAATCAAGTACTTCGTCAACAAGCACTGGCCTTTTCACCAACTGGAAAAGCATTATCGGCAAGGCAGAAAACAACCATTATTCAGGTATTTAGGGTGTAAAAAGTTATTATACATTCTGTAGGGCCATAACATGTAGTTTTATGAAATTATATTGAGATTTCTATTACTAATGACAGAGGACTCCAGAGAATGGACATATTCTAAATGGAGAAACAAGGGTTGCATCAGTAAGTAGAAAAACATGATGCTTTTGGCATGCTTTGTGAAGACAAATATAACTTATATATTTTCTTTCCTATCTGTCTCAGGATTTGAGTCTTGCTGTATCGAATCCACGGGAACCTGAAACTGAGGAAAAGCCACAGAAATCACTTAATGAGAAGCAGCAGGTAACGGATGTTCAAATTTATGAAGTCAAATGTATAACCTGATTTCATTTTGAAGGTTTATTTTACGTCTTAGGACTTCTTTCTCACCATATGGTTTCTTGGTGCAGGAGAATCAGGACCTGTTGATTAGATGTATTTCACAAGATTTGGGATTCTCTGGTGGAAGGCCTGTTTCTGCTTGTGTCATATACAAGTGCCTCCTTCATTGGAGATCATTTGAAGTTGAAAGAACGAGTGTGTTTGACCGTATTATTCAGACAATTGGCTCAGCTATTGAGGTACCTCAAAATTTCAATTTAGAGGTTCAAAATCTGTACTTTGGTTGGTAAATTATCATTCTCATCATTTAATCCTGTAAGCCTCAGGCCCAGGTTTAGGAGAATTTGATTGCATAATTGCTATAATCTTGTTACCAAACCAATGAGTACTAAGTTACTAGTTTTCTTGTACTCTAATGCTACCATGCCACTTCTGTTGATATTTGGTTTTCTTTGTTGGTGAAGGCCCAGGATAACAATGATGTACTATCATACTGGTTATCTAATTCATCAACATTGCTGTTGCTCCTCCAACGCACACTTAAAGCAAGTGGTGCAGCTAGCTTCACACCACAAAGGCGGAGATCAACATCAGCTTCTTTGTTTGGTAGGATGTCTCAGGTAAGAAGTAATTGTTCATTTCGTTTGGATAAGCTTAAAAAAAAACTTCCTACCAAAAAAACTTATGCTTCCTTCTAAAATTTTATCATCATCTTTGCCTTGTCCCAACTATATGGTCTCAGCTACATGAATCCTGTTTTGTCATTCCATTCTTTTCAGTGCCATATCCATCGTTAAATTTTGGGCACTCAAATCATTTCTTATTACTTCCACCCTAGTCCTTTTTGGTCTGGCCCTAGCTCTTCAAGCTCCTTAAACTTGTAACAGATCACTTTTTCTAACAGGTGCTGTAGATGGTCTTCTAGCATGTGACAAAACCATCTCTATCTACTTTCTCTCATTTTATTACATATGGGCTTTAGAAAATTCTTATGTCATCCTTTTAAAATTTTTTTCTAGGGTCTTCGAGCATCTCCACAGAGTGGGGGATTCTCTTTTCTTAATGGTCGAATGCTGGGACTGGATGACTTACGGCAAGTAGAAGCCAAATATCCAGCATTGCTGTTTAAGCAACAACTTACAGCCTTTCTTGAGAAGATATATGGAATGATAAGAGATAATCTGAAGAAAGAGATCTCCCCCTTGCTTGGATTATGTATACAGGTAATTGCTGCAAATTTTTGTTACGCCTTTCTTTTTTTTCTTTGTGGCAATAATTTGTATCCTTGTATATTAGTAGAATTTGCTGGAATGTTGAATTAGTGGTAAGTTGTGTTAACTGAACAGATGATGTGCAAAGAGCTTATTTCTCATGTCTTCATATATTTTCTGGCAACAATTTGATGTCAGTAGGGGCTTGTGCCAACCAGTCTAAAACTTGTTATATTTTCAGCTTTCATGTGCATTGGGTATACCAAACCATACTCAAGTTGAAGTTTTTGTTTGCATGAAAAGTAAACCCTTAACAATTAAAATACAATAACAAAAGAAAAAGTATAATGATAAATACTGTGACATAAAGTTGATACTGGGAGACCATGTACAGATATGTCAGGTTCAATACATGTTTTATTATCCAAGGTAGCTTAAATTTTATCTTTTCTGATTGATATTTCATCTCTGATTGTCTTTCTTCGTTTTCATTGAATTGCTCTGTCTTCATAGATAAGTAGATGTCAGCATTTATCTTTTCAAAATGATGCAGGCACCTAGAACATCCAGGGCAAGTTTAGTGAAAGGACGTTCTCAGGCAAATGCAATTGCTCAGCAAGCTTTAATTGCTCACTGGCAAAGCATTGCGAAAAGCCTGAACAGTTACTTGAAGACTTTAAGAGCTAATTATGTGAGTTCTAAAAGTTTGAATATGGCAATGTAATTAAATTTTTCCTTCAACATCATCAATCTCATAGACCTGCTTCTTTACAGGTACCCCCATTCTTAGTCCGCAAAGTGTTCACTCAAATATTCTCTTTCATAAATGTTCAGCTATTTAACAGGTAATTTTGTTTGAATCTTCTGCCTGGAATTGTTTGATTTGAATACATTTCAACTCAATGGAGTCTATTAGCAGTTTAGCACTGTTTTGCCGTTATTTGACATTCTATTCATTTTGGCAGTCTTCTTTTGCGTCGTGAGTGTTGTTCATTTAGCAATGGGGAGTATGTAAAAGCAGGATTGGCTGAGTTGGAGCAATGGTGTTATAATGCTACTGAAGAGGTGAGCATCAAACATGACCTCATAAATATTCTTCCTACAATATATCTGGTTTTTTTTTGCTTGGAAATTTTGTCTGAAGGATCTGCTTTGTATTCAGTATGCAGGCTCCGCTTGGGATGAGTTGAAGCATATCAGACAGGCTGTTGGCTTCCTGGTATGACTTGTATCTTATCTCATATGTATTCCTTTTTTAACTCTTTTATATCTCTTGTAAATATGTGTGTGTGTGTTGCTTAATACGCTTTTTTTTTTTGAAATCCAGGTCATACACCAAAAGCCCAAAAAGACCTTGAATGAGATAACAAAAGACCTTTGCCCGGTCTGTGACTCTTTTCTTTGCACCTCCAACTTCTATCCTAGATTTTTGTCATGTTTCAAACTTCATAGACTGGACATGCTTCTTATTCTTGTGAACTGCTTCTTTCAGGTGCTTAGCATACAACAATTATACAGGATCAGTACAATGTACTGGGATGACAAATATGGTACACACAGTGTCTCTTCCGATGTAAGTCTCTTTCCAATTGGTTTTGAGTTGTACTGACATGTCAGTGTGATTCACATTTCTCAGTATCTGGCTTGTTATAATGTATCAGTTATCCTATCCAAATTCCAGTTTTTGCCCTATTTTTTCAGTTGCTATATCTTTCTGGTGAACAAATCACTTTAAACTGTCATCACAGGTTATTTCGAGCATTAGAATTCTGATGACGGAGGATTCAAACAATGCTGTCAGCAGCTCTTTCTTATTAGATGATGATTCAAGGTAGATTTTTCGACAGACTTGCATACTACTACAACTCTTTCTCTGTTATCATATGTATGGATCATCACAGCTTCTCTTTTTCTTGCTCAATCAATGCAGCATACCATTCTCTGTGGATGACATCTCTAAATCAATGCAACAAGTGGACATAGCTGATATCGATCCTCCGCCTCTGATGCGTGAGAACTCAGGTTTTGTGTTCCTATTACAACGTTCAGAGTGATCTCCATGATCATGTTGTCCATGCATTCTGCATGTCCATGATGCAGTTGCTACAACCTGTGCATATGATTTCATTTTCTGCATATCAATGTATATTTTACACGTCCATTGATTGATTGATTTTTTTTTTCTTTCCCTCCATGTCTTGTCGACAAATGGGGTTTTTGTATAGCGCCCATAGCGCTGTGTGAGCAACATGTAGCAGGGTGCAGCATGTTGTCACACCAGATAGGTTCAAGTTTATTTGTTTGTGGTTAGTCTGTCAGAATACTTTAAATGTAATATATGACAGTAGCCGCATTTTTAGGCAATTATTTGTTAAATGTTAAAGGCTGAAAGTTATTTGTATGCATCTGCTCATGTAATATTCTTTTTATTTATTTTAGGGTAGTCCTATACTATCCTACTTTTCTCAATTGTTTCTTCTGAGAATAAATGAAAGTTAATTATGTTGGGGTTTAGACTAACATCCTCAGATGGTTTGCACGGTAGAAGCTCTAATGCTAATTGCTACGTCTGTCGAATAATAAAAATAAGAATTTAGCTTTTTTTTATCAAAAAATAATAATAAAATAATACGTATAACCAATCATGTGTGAAACGCCAGTATGTTATACACATGGGACCCACATGTATGGAACCAAAGCTTTTCAACTGCCGTCGAATCGGATGGTTGGACCATTCGGCCTGGGAACCATCCAGGCAACTGGTTATATTTTACTCCAAACCTGGTTTCTGGCAAAAAATCGTTGAATTGGTCAATGATCTATTGACCTGGGTGGTCGAATTGTCAACCCATTCAATCCGTGCAATGGTTTTGGTCATTTTTTATTTTAATTACTTTTTTATTTTTTTAATTTTGTCAGAATGGGTTGTTTGTTTGAACTGGATGATTGAATCGTCAACCTAAAAACCAATGGTCAGAGTGGTTCCGGTTTCAAAATGGTTTTTAAAACATTGTATGGAACACTGGCGTGTTTACTTGTAATTGGTTACATAGCATATTGTACACGCTTATGTTTGCAGAATTGCAGCAGATCTACCATGCAAATGTGGCAATTGTAAGAGAAGGCTGTGTTATGGGCTGTTTTAATGAATACTTTTTTGGTAAAACTGCAAAAGTTTTAATGAATGACGACCTAGTCATTCACAAGTGTATATGCCCCATGATGAAGTCCAGATCTCCCAACAAAAGACCATTCCGACGTGATTCGTGTCTGCATATCTCATAAAAAATCATTTCAACCTGATCTATGGGGTAATCCTAACTCCCCACGAGGCCGACCATGCCAATCTAGGATGGCAATTTTCTGGTCTCCAACTCTCCATCGTGTACAGGGCTTCTCCGACTTGGGGATGGAGATTGCCTGGGAAATTTTCCTTATTTTACAATTTTTGTATTTTAAGTAAATCTATTTTTAAAAGCATTTTTAATTTAGAAAGTTTGGGGATTTGGGTCCCCAATAAGAATGGAGGATCATTTTTATGCGCAGCAGGAATCCGAATGGGGGGTAGAAATTTGTTTCGAAGTTGGGGATTGGGGGGATAGGGAATGTGGTCCCTGCCCCATTGCCATTCTAATGCCAATGCCAATCCCACTTGGCCTGCAAAAATTGGATGATATTTAAATCAGTTCAGATCTCCTACCCACGATAATTCTATCCATGTCTATCCACATGATACTACAGTTGTACATGCATAAATAATTGATATTTTCAATGTACCTAACACAGCTATTGAAATGGAGATGGGATCTGTTCCTCACACAGGCGCCTTACAGGCACATCCACCATACATTGAGAATATTTCCCATGAATAATAACTTATAAGTACGAGAGATGATCCCAATACATGGTAGGGTGTGCGTGTGAGGTCGGTGTGAGAGGCCCTGTATGAGGAGCAGATCTGGTCTCATTAAAATGCACCTAACCCGAATTACACTCACAGTCGCACGTCAACTTGAACTCTCGTGTACTAGAAGTGTGGACCAATGTTCACTTCATCCAAATCAGAATCTGCAAGTCTGTAACCATTAATACAAGGCACAGAAATAACCGAGGCAACTTGGATTGTAAAGAGTCTTCGTACCCATGTAAGTCTACCTACACCTATCTATATAATTGCACCACGCATGAATAACATCTCATTCTCTTCTTAATGTACGGAGGTATTACTTTAGGGGTAGGCTTGATAGAGTAATGGATCCAAAGTCCAAACCTAACTCGAGCCGCGGGTAGTTGAAATGCTTTTAAGTCGGCAACCCAACTTGCAAGTAGCAGCCCTACAGCCAGTCTGTCAGCACACCACTTGATGGGTTAATAATTTGATATTCACACAACGCCTGTAGATTTTGGACTCGGATCTTCTCCCTATTCCAACCCCACAACATTGCAGCGTTACATGAAAAACATCTCTTGCACTTGTCCAATGCACGGCTGGTCGGCTGCGATGCAGGGTTGGTGTGGCAGTGTGGGGAGAAGATCCAAGGAATCTATACTACCGTAAGAGACGGGATCTGCTCTCACAAATGGGCGCCTCACATGCACATTCACCATGCATTGGGAACATCTCCCATGAATATTCATTAATAAGTACGAGAGATGTTCTTAGTGCATGGCAGGCAGGATGTGCTTGTGAGGCGCCAGTGAAACGCCATCTGTGAGGAGCAGATTTGGTCTCCTATAAAAATACAAATAAGGTCCAAGGTTTCTGAAAATTTTTTGGACTAAAATACTCCTTTTTATGAAATAGGGTCCCTATCTATTATGAGGGCAGAAATATGTAATATGAATACTATTATTCATTGTATTCAATTCTCTCTCATTAAATTCTGATGGTGCGCAATCCGGCCGGTCTTAGCTGTCAACGATCTTGCCTCTGAACTGAGTAGCAGGGAACCTGAAACGGAGAAGATGAGGAAGCTCTGGGGGGAACCCTGTGTAAAGGCTTCGAAGCTCAAGTTAGAATCCTTCAAAGGCAAGATAAAACCAGATTGCGCAAAGTTTGCCTACCATGTTCTTGGGGGGTAGAGAGCCTTTTATAACCACCTCGCGCACTCACTCCTAGACTTTTGCTAGGTCGGGTATGATTACTTCTGTGCTTCTGCCAGTTCGGGTGTCATCACCTCTGTTGGAGCAGAACCGCCACTGCTCCTTTTGTTGGAGCCGTCTCTATAACTAGAGATGGCGGTGGTAGGTGACGGTGGCAGGTGGCCGTTGAAGTGCGGCTATCAAGCGTCAAATCCCAAGTTAGTCAAGTGCGCCGCCCCTGGATACGGACTCCTTCGGTGTCAGGTACGGTGTGGTTTGTCTAGTTCGGCGTTCTGGAGGCGAAGTGCTAGAGCGGTGTGCGAGGCGAAGTCTTGAGTTCGGATAGGGGAGTATCCCGAACTGCCATGAGGCGGGCTAGTTCGGGTCACTGCTTTGTGTGGCTCGGGGCCTAAGGGAGAGTTCGGGCTCTTAGAAGGGAGGTCGGGCTCCTCGTAGGGAGTTCGGGCTCCGCGAAGGGAGTTCGGTCTCCTCGAGGGGAGTTCGGACTGCGGGTTTCTTCCCTTTAGTGTTTGCGCCCTAGGTACGCTGCTTTAAGTGCCGAGCTATTTGTTTTTTGCCACGTGGCGTGATCGCGAGGTCAGGCCAAATCTTCCTTCATCAAATTCCATTTAAGGTAAATTCTCGTTCATCCTCATTTAATTATACATTTAAGTCATTTTTGTTTCTTTTAATTATTAAGTTCCATTAATTAAATCCATACATAAACAATTCTAATAACATAAAAACTTGGACTTTTGAAATTGACTTTGAAAAGCATTATTTTTATGTGGTGGCAAGAAATTTAACGGTTTTGGGTCAAATAGGCCAGCCCATGTTGCATTGTTGCCACAATTAAATAATAAAAAATTAAAAACTTGATAAAATGCAAAAAATATAGAAACTAAAGAAGAGTTTGGGAACTTCTTTAATATCATATATTCATCATATTAGACAAGAATAAGTATGATAAATAAGAAATACTTTTATTAATGATGGAAATGGAATATAAAATTTAAAACCAATTGGAAATAAAATTATTTTCCTATTCTCTCTCATTAAGTCTCATATCTAAGGCATATATTCTCTCATTAAATCCTATATTCAAGATATATTTTTCTCATCATTAAATTCTATTAATTAAATCCACAACATTGATTTTAATATTATAAAAATAAACATTTTGAAAAATAATTTGAAGATAAAACCATTTTCTTCCCTCCTGGTGGTGGGTAAGCAATTCAACCATTTGGGTCAAATGGATTAACCAATAATGGCCTAATCAAATAATAAAAATCAAAATAAATAATATATAAAAATACACAAAAAAGGAATTGAGCATATCTCTAATATTATATATTCATTATACTAAATAAAATTAAGTATGAAATGCAAGAAATATTTTTATTAACGATGAAAATGGAATTACAAATCTAAAATAAACCTTGAAATTAAATCAGATGATGTCATAGTCAAATAATAAAAAATTTAAAATAAAAACAAAAAATTCACAAAAATAAAGAGAAGATCAGAGAACAATTTGGGCACATATTTGATGTTATATGTTTATAAATAAAATAAAATATTGAATCCATCTAGAATATTATACATTCAGTATATTGAACAAAAATAAATGTTATACATAATTTTATCAATGCTGGAAATGCAATAATAAATGGTTTTGGTGGTGGGTTAGTAGTTTGGGTCAAATAGATTAACTAACGATGTCATAGTAAAATAATAAATTTTTAAAAAATAAAAAAATGTACAAAGAATAAAAAATATAAAAACTATAAAAAATTTGGACATGTATCTAATGTTATATATTAATTATATCAAATAAAAAATTAAGTATGATAGCCAAACATTATTTATATAATGTAGATGAAATATATAATTTAAATTGATCTGAAAGCAAGGCTATTTTTCCATCTAGATGGTGGGTCAATGATCAGACTTTTCAAATAAACTCATGGTGATGTCATAATTGAACAAAAATATTTAAAAAAGATAGAACGCAAAAAAAGAAAAATATACAATTTTGTCAAAAACATTTGGAGATATTTCTAATGTTATATATTCATTATATTAAATAAAAAAATTGTTAAAATAAAAATTATTTGTATTTATGATAGAAATGGAATATAAAATTAAATAATAATAGTAATAATAACTGTCATTGTAATTTAAAATTTCTACGCAAATCCACATTTATTAGTACATTAAAGCGAGCAGAAGAAATAAATTAATAAAACAAAGAAGGGAATTCGGATCAGCTGAATGAATGCTTTAGCTGTGAAATCAATGATAATGCCCCACGCCAGTGGCAAAATACATGGGGCCATGTATTTTATGAATGATGTGGAATATTATTATTGGTTAAGTGTACAGCCCGCTGAACGGCATTTGCATTCAGTTAATCCTATCTCAATTCTTCTCAATTCTTTTCCTGTTTTATCCGGCCTCTTGGTTGAGGTTGTACTATTACCGTGCTGTTAGTATGAAGTCAGTCCAAAAATGGTTTTAAGTGGACACCACAGAGCATGAGTAACGAGCGAAAGAAGAGATTGAACAGAGCTTTGTGTTTCTTTCTTCTCACTGACACCGTCTTTTTGAGCACAAGTGACTGAACTTGGGGGGATGTTTTCCAACATGCATAATTTTCTTCTATCATGCCATAAACCAAACTGGAGTTCAACCGAAAAGAAGAAATCCTATCTCCTATGATAGTAAAAGAAGTACAACATAAAAAAAAAAAATAGAAGTTTGGATCAAAATTAATTTATTTTTTTCTTGAATAGGAACAGTGCAACCATCCATTCTTCTCCATTGTTATAGCCAAACAGTTCTGCCACTGAGATGAAGAATGTACGCCAATAGGCAGTCCACTTAACAGCGGAATCCTTGCCATAAGTTGACTCCATTATTGGCTTAATAGAAGCCATGTTCTGGTCCATTCTTTTAAGCCACTCCTCACTGCAAAGGTAAACATGTTTTAATCATATATAAGCGAAATTATCAAGTTTCACTCATGTTCATAAATAAATATAATCCAATTTAACCCGAACAGGCGCAACTTTGAAGTTAGGTTTAGCCATACGATATTTGGCTAGTTCAAGTGTCAAACCATTAACTTTCTAGTTCCTTCAATGTATATCGCTTTGAAAGAATGAATACAAACCTTGTTAAAAGCAAAACAAAAACAAAACAATATAAAGAAACACACGCTTGCCTTGTTCTTGCATAATGGTTCCCATTTACAAGCCAATGGTTGACAACAGAAACATCATCCTGGATATAAAAAACACCACAAAGAAATGTTAAGCAGGAAGATAAAATGTGTTCAGCTCTAGGCATAAAAAGAATCAAGATTCCTACATAAGAGATCGAGTTGGTGGCCTCTCTGGACATCAAATGGCATTGTTACTCCACTAACAAAAGATTTCAATATTTATGATGGCAATTAAATGCATTAAAGCAGATTTCATCTAATACCTGAAACACATAATTGCCAAATAGTAGATTAATATCATGCAATCTTTTTTTTATTTTCTTTTCCTTTTTCCTTTTTGGTAAACTGGTAAGAATAGATTCAAATGAAATTCAAGCATCCTCTTGTACTTCTTCTCATTTCTATTTAATTTGAACAAGTAGTGATAGTTATTAACAAAAGAGTGAAAGAGGTTTATTTAGATTAAAGAATATCTAAACGTGAGAATCTTGTCTTTCCTCCAAACAAAGGATGCATATTTTTATGGGATAAAAATCTCAGACAATATGGACAGAAGTGCAGAACTTACCTGGAAATAGAGGAGAAGGTTTGCAGCAGGCATTGTCCCTCCAGTGAAGAAGTACCTGGTAATCCAGTCATCTTCATTCTTGTCCTGCATAAAAAAGAAAAATCAGATATCTATAAATGTCATCGATAGGACTTTATTGTTGGTAGAAGTCATAGATAGGACTTAGGAATTTGGCAAAATAATTGGAGACTTTTATTCTTTTAAGAAAGGGAAAGATGGAAAATAAATAATTATTGTTTTTAATCCAGGATTTACATCAATCCGTCCAGATGAATAATGACAGACTCAATTGTTACAGAACTAAATATTAGTTTCTTTAAATATGTAGGTACCACAAAGACTTTCTAAATCAATGCATAACCAAGTAAACATGCAGAGCAATTAACAAGTTAAACAGAAATACCTCAAAGTGGTAAGCAAATGCTTTATGGCAGAAGTAGTTAACAAAAAGGAGGCTATCCTCCTTCATCCATTTTGATATCTTATTAAGAAGTGCCTTGTAGTTCTTCATGTGCTGCATTAAGGGAAATATATCAATGTAAGAAACCATAACAATAGATTTCGGACCTTGTCAAAAAAGATCAAAGTGTTGCATACTTCAAACATTTCTATGGATAAAATCCTATCAAATGATGCCTCCATTTCAAAAGTGCTGATATCTGCAACAATGATCTCCACATTTTGCAGCTTCAGTTCCCTGTATAAGATGAAAATGTGTGGGTTATCTTAGGTTGCAGAGATGAATTCACCATTTTCAGAAAGCATGCACCTGTAGTTATAAATATGGACCAAACAGAAATGAGCTAATGGAACTTCAATCATCTTGTAGAAGTAGGAAGTGCTGTGATATGTTGATTCAAACAGAAAAAGTAGAGGTTTGAAGCTGTGGTTCTTGTAGATGCAACTTTGCCATCCGTAACTGTTTTCAGCGCCTTGTAACCCTTTTGTTACTGGTCCAGAAGATCAAATAAGGGATCTAACAGAACATATTGTGTATTTCATGCAACTTACCTACATTGCTCCTCTATATATGCTTTCTGTGTCTTTGAATTGCAAATCCCTGTTATCCTGCAGCTAGAAAACTTTTGTGCAATATACAAGGACAATGATCCCCAGCCACAACCAACATCAAGCACAGATTGGCCATCTTTGATCTGTGCCCTCTCACAGTACAGCTCCAGCATAGCTTTCTCTGCATCCTCTAAGGTGCTTGACTTGTCAAGGAAGTAACAGCAGCTGCACATGTTGATAACTAAACTAGCTAAGCTCAAAAAAGTAAAAAAGATGACTATTTCATTTTTCTTAAGGAGGTATATAAGCATAATGGCATGTGAAGAAAGACGGAAGTCGTCTATATTCTGCATTTCTCAGAGTATATACGAGGAAGCTATTGATTTCATTGACATTATCTAATGGATCAAGTCATAATACTCTCTAACTCTGAAATTTGTATCTGAGATAAGTGGTATATATGAAAAGAAGAAAAAAAAATGTGAACAATTAGAGCATGAAAAAATATTAATTGCCTCTTAAGAGGGGTCAGGGGTGGATACTTGCTCCTTTTCTTCAAAAATTTTTCTGACATTTGCACACTGCAGTTTTTGAAGAATCAAACAGAGCTGATGTTTTCAACAATTAATAATCAATATCACTATTTTGAATTCTATACTTAAAATGTTGTAGGGCTGAAATGGAAATTGGGTTGTTTTCTAATACTTGCTTTCCTCACACTCAACAAGTGTCTCTTACATAAGAGAGAGAGAAGACAAGAAAATCCAATTATTAGTAAGATAATCGACATGATAAGCTTCGTATACTGGATTACAATGCAAAGAAAGTAAGAATTAGATTTCATTTACCTGTATTTGAGATTCTTCCCTAAAACCAGCTTGAAGAAGGAAGTGGGTAATTCATAATGTTGGGACTTTGGTAAGTCGGTCTTGATGGCAATGGGCATTTCTTTTAGCGCTGCGACGTGAAAAGCAATATGGCTTCACTCATATTTAAATCCAATGGAACAATTTCGAAGAAGAAGAAGAAGAGAGAGAGAGAGAGAGAGAGAGAGAGAGAGAGGCAGAGAAAGAGAGGTGTAGATTTACAGTGAACAAATTGGAGAAGATCAGAAAGTTGGAGTTGAGAGGACGGCTTGTATCCCCAACGAAGACGGCTAGCCAACAGCAGCCGCGTGAGCCTCCTTATGACGACGTCGGGGAGGAGGTTACGCTCGAGAGACGACAGCATTAAACGTATAGTTGCATCGTATGGTACCTGGATCAACGCATCCATGGCGCCTGATCTCTTTATCTCTTCTTCTTCTCGATCGTTTTCTTTTTTTAGACCGTGTGTTTCGTTTCGTTGTCCGGGAGTAGACACTGTGACTTATCTGAATCCGGATCTAGTACCGGTAGGTAGTGGTTAATTAGCAAACTAGCATGTCGGCATACTATTCATGGAGTTCCACCTTCATGACTTGCCGAAAAGACGTCATACCGGAAAAAGTTTATCTTCTGTTAGTAATTGTCTGTCTGGCTGTGGTGCGCTCTGAGTGCGAGTTCGGCTTCAGTCAGGGCAAAGTCCGTTCGAGCAGCCTTTATTATTTGCGTTAAAAAATATATCTCTTAATTGTGGAAAGATAATTCCATGGTTATAAAAGGTTGTTAGAACGGTGTGGGTACAGGTTTTACCCGAAGCCAATATCTTACGCTTCAAGTTGTCTTTTTTTCTTTATTTTTTTTATTATTTTTAGTAAAATTCGTGCAACTGTGATGGGATCTGCTCCTCACAAATGAGCGTTTCACAGGCACATCCACCGTGTATTGAAAATATCTCCCGTGAATTATAACTAATAAGTATGGGAGATGTTCCCAATACATGATAGGATGTGCATGTGAAGCGCATGTGAGGTGTCAGTGTCCGTGCAAGTTGCATTGGATTTGGAGCACGTGAATAGTATGTGGTTTGGCGATGGCAACACATCGAAGGGTATATGGTTATTCACCGTTCATGGCTGTTTGTAGGCTTTTAGCCTCCTCGTAGTGAATTAGGATCTTCTCCTATACCTACAAAATACCGTTCTAACATGGACAGACATCATGCCTGATTCTTGTTCATGGGCTAGGTTGGGCTGGACTTTGCCTCTACGTTAATAGAATATGTTTAGGATCAAACGAGTCTGACCCAACTATCAAGCTTAGGTCTTGAGCCTGAGCTCAACCCTCATATAAAGTTTGAAGTTCAGATTCGACCAGAAATTTAGAAAAAAGATTTTATTTTTTATTTTTTAGTTCAATTAAAAACTATTTTATTTATATTAAAAGACCTCAAAATTGAAAAAAAAAATCTAATTATTAATTGAGAAGAAAAATAAAGAAAAAAGATATTATAAATATATTTTTTTATTATATAAAATATATTTTTATTATATAATACATTATCAAGTTAAGCTCGGACTTGGGCTAAGCTTTTTTGAGAAAGCCTAAGCTTGGCTCGTAAAAAAATCAGGCCCGATATTTTAAGCCCAAATCCGAGACCACAGGCCTGAAATCTTATCCAAGCCTGACTTAGATCGGATCGAGTCGAGCCGACCTATCAAGCTACCTGGCCATGAACAAGTCGTTGGAATGTATTGGAAGGGTTTCTTGTTGGGAGGAGATCCGGATTCCATCAAAATATCATTTACTTTCATCAGTTACTGCTTACTGGTATATAGGTCCCAGTCCGGTAGTCTATTTTCTATATGTCAGATTGTGAGGAGCAGATCCCGTCTCCATTGTGAGATATGATAGAATTTAGGGATTATAGCTGATAAGGGCAACTTTTGGGCCCTAATATCAATAAAAATAATACTTTTAATAAAATTTCAAAAATAGATTAACTTTTTAAAAATAATATCAATTAAGGGCAAAAACACTGTTCATCTTCTTCCTCTTGCAATCTATTCATCAATATCGCCATCCAAGGTGGCAACCTCCGACAATACCTCTATCTAACTCCGCCACCTCCGCAAGACTCGTCAAAGAAATAATAAAGATCAAATAGAGTTTACTTACTACACGGTTTTGATCCTATATATATTATACACTGAAAATATGAGAAGAGGAAGGTGAAAAATATTAATTTTTTAAGGGTAAAATACAAAAACCTCTCATATAGTTTCATTTTATCAAAAATCTCCCCTCTATTTTTGATAAAATTAATAAATACCTCTCTTACATAAAGATCGGAAAATGTAAAAAAGATGATATTTTTCAAAATACCTATTTTACCCTTTCTAGAGTGCTGTTCATCTTCTTCCTCACGAGAAGGCAAAGAGCAGCAGAGAAACTGAGAGAGATCTTTTCCTTTTTATTTTGTTTTGTTTTTTCGTATTTGTAGCTTCGCTAACCTGGGAGAAGGGACTAAAACTGAATGGAGAGAGTAATGTGGGGAAGGAGTTATTTAATGGCTTGCTTTTATGAGGTAGTTCGTGAAACCAGGGGCGATTTTAGAGGCGATTGTTTGTCTCTGTTTTGTTTTGTCTCTTTGGGTATTTGGGGAAAGGGTTTTTGTTGGATTTCTTTCGCTAAGCGACAAGAGAAGGCAAAGAGCAGAGAGATTGAAAGAGATCTTTTCCTTTTCCTTTTTTTTTTTTTTGTTTTGTTTTTTTGTATTTGTGGTGTAGCTTCGCTAGCGTGGGAGAAGGAACTAAAACTGAATGGAGAGAGTAAAGTGGTGAAGGAGTTATTTAATGACTTGTTTTTATGAGGTAGTTCGTGAAATCAAGAGCGATTTTAGAGGCGGTTGTCTGTCTCTGTTTTCTCGAACATTATTCCTCTTCTTAGTTCGAACCCAGAAGCAGAGGCAGCGGCGGCACCCTCTCTAAATCCGATCTCATCCTCTTCTCTCATCTTCTTCGACTTCTTGTTCTTCCCCTTTTTCCCTTTTTCTGTCCCATTAGCGTCGATCCGCCTTTTCCCACCATCTTTCTCCCCCGTCTGTGCTCCCTCTCTTTTCTTCTTCTTGTTCCTCCTTTCCCTCCTTTCTTCTCCTTCCCCTGTCGGCGTCCATTTTCGGATCGCTTTCCATCACTGTTCTCTGATCATCGCCATAGCCGCATTAATCGCATTTCCGTTTAGATTTCCAGCTATTTCTCACTGTTTTCGATTGCCCTTCTCATCCCCATCATACATAACTTGTCTTTTAGCATCTCGGCTCCCTAGATCTATAATGCAAAATCTGCTTTGTACGCCGTTCGCTGCAAGTTTCTCAGCTTCAGGTGACATTTACATTGGAAATATCTCCTTTTCTCGCCAATCTCCCATTTGTATCCTTTGAGAATCATTGCTATCCGAGATGGAAGTTAGCTCAAGTTCCCTATTGCAAAGTTAAGTTTGTCAAAATCCCAGTCGACGACATTCTTCTCCATCTGTAAAACAAATGACGACACACCTCGGAGCAAATGCAACATGTATTGCCTCGATTGCAGCTGTGACGCATTCTGCTTCTATTGTCGGGGTCAAGGCACAATGATCATCGAGTAATTCGAGTGGATAGGTTGGAGGTGTCATGAAGAAGAAGATGAAGGTATTCTAAAAAGGATAAAATAGGTATTTTGAAAAAATATCATCTCTTTAACGTTTTTCGTCTTGATGTTTGACGGAAGGAAAGTTTTTATTAATTTTATCAAAAATAAAGAAAGTATTTTTTCTAAAATGAAACTATAAGGGAAGGTTTTTATGATTATCAGAAACTTTAGTGAAGGTTTTTGTATTTTACCCATTTTTCAATCGAGAACGGTGTTGATATTCGTGGTCGGAGATTCGGGAGAGGAAGAAGAAGCAAAACCGGAACCAGAACCAGCACGTGTGACAGTGGCAAGGAGATCTGCAAAGTAAGGGTTGTCTCCACGGTCTCACTTCCCATCTAAAACCTCTTTGTACTCCGCCATCAGCTTATCCCATTTCTCCCGGCACTACTTTCCGTCCCTCTGCACCCCCTCGGCGCACAGTAGTTGCGCCACCTCCTCCCACAGCACCCACCTCCTCGTCGACTTGGCGAACTTCCCTTACATCTCCGTCCGCACCTTTATCAGCAGCAGCACCTCCGCCCTCTTCCAGTTCTTCGATCTTTTTCTCGCCGCACTCCCTCCTCCGCTTCCCCCGCCACCGCCAGCGGTTGTGACGGCAGTTTCTGCTATTGGAGTAGAGGCTGGTAAGTTCACATGGTGGCACGGTGCAGAGTCTGAAGTGCATCTTACACCTTCGTGAACGATCTTTTTCATGAAGAGAGTCATGGCGTTTTGGAACATTAGTCGATGCTGTCGATCTTCTTCCCGCCATTTTTCTTCCCTTTCTAGCCGAATTTTCTCGCGTATTTTCTCTCTCCACTCCATTGATTCAAGGAGAACCACAAAGAATCTGGATTGTCTTGCTAAAAAGCTATCAAAGAGATCCTTAAAAGCTTTTATCATTTCGTCATTTCTAAAATTGAGAGACCTCTGCTGCTTCTTCCCTGGAAATTCATTGGTGTCTTCTTCGGTGTCTTCGCCATCCGATCGGATAAACTCATCTTCTCCTCCTCTGATCTCCATCTCGATTTCTCTCGGCAACTCGATACCTTGACATTGTCTGCGAAGTTGAGTTCGAATTAGAGTTTCTCTCCTCTGAGCTTTTCCTGATAGGAGAGGATCGAGTTCGTTGTAAAACAGATAGTTCTCCTTGTCTCGAATGCTCTCTCGAACTTCCTTGTACCCCGCCGTGAATTTCTCCCATTTATCCGGCAACATTGCCGGCGGAGGTGGGCAGAGGCGGAGGCGGCGGCTAAGGGTGTCAGTTATCGGAACAATGACCCCTTTTTGTAAACCGAACCGTTGGTACCGGTTTTTTCATTTTGCCAAACCAAAATCGAATTGGTACCACCGGTTAACCGATCCATCCGTTTTGGTTTTTGACCAGTTCGATACTTTGGTTTTTTTATTTTTATATTTATAATATACATTATATAAATATATGTATAATATTATATTATAAATAATAAATGATATATAATATATTATAAATATTTTAAAAATATATAATATATTTATAAATAGATCATTATAAATATAATGAATATATATTTATATAAAATATATAGAAAATATGTGACTTATATTAAAAATATATATAAAATATACATATAAATATATATACCGGTCGTTTCGGTTAATCATCGGTTTTTTTATAGGTTAACCGAAAACTAAATTGGTCTTTTGGTTTTTCAAAAATTCCGACCGGTTCGATTAATCGCATTTTGTGATTCAATTTTTTCAGTTTGGTTCGATTTTTCGATTTTTCACGAACACCCCTAACAGGACATGTGGCGACAATGATAAATGGATTGCAAGAGGAAGAAGATATACAATGTATCCTTAATTGATATTATTTTTAAAAAGTTAACTTATTTTTTAGATTTTATTAAAATATTATTTTTATTAATATTAGAGACTAAAAGTTACCCTTATCTATTGGGTTTGGATGACCTAAGACAACAATTTACAACACGGGCTAGTCACCCAATCGCGTTGTAACATGTAAGCACCCCACATTTAATGTTTTAAGTTAACGGGAGAGAAGCTCTCCTCTCGGTTACTTTTAGTATCTATTTTAAATTAACAAAAAAAACCCACTTCTTCTTCCCCGTTATTTTCTTAAAGAGAAAACCTTTTTTATACCTAATGTGAAAACCCCGTTATTTTCCCTAGAATTTACATCGTCTGTCCCTTGGTATCAGATCAATAACAATTTGCTGCATCAGCCTAATTTTCCCATTTTAATATTAAAGTGATTTTTTTAATTGATGTGGCAGATTATTATTATTTAGTGCATATATGTGAACTTGACATAGTGGTTGGTGGCCACGAGTCCACGACATTGGGGGTCGGCCGGTTGGGATCAACTGTCCCTTCCTCCCCATTAAGTCATTAACGGATCATTCCAGAGCTTCCATTCAACACCTTATCAAATGGTCGGCCGGTTGCACAAAGGATTGATAAAGCTTAAAATGCTTGTGTCGACTAACTTTCCGACCTCTTTTTTAAGGGAAATTTCTAAATTAATACCTTATAATTTTGGGTTATTGCAAGTTAGTAACCGAATTTTACCTGAAAACTATCAGTTTAGTCCAAAATCGTTAAATGCAAAGTGGCATGTGAAATAATAAAAATGACCTTTCGATGTCATCTATTTTCTTTACAACACCCTCTAAAGTTCATGAGAAAAAAGAGAGGAAAAGATGTAAAAAGTGAGACTGAGATCCGAGAAGAAACTCTCGACTTTGCTTCATTACTCGACCCATTGGTCTCTTTTGAATTTACCTTCCGTGATGTGTTTGTTGTATTTTCTTGGTTTGCTGGGCACTGTATTTGCTTTTCCAATCCACACAGAACCATTCAACCTCATCTCAAACTCTCTGATTGAAGAAGGTCAGGTCTTAGTTATCTTGGGAGACCAGTGCTTAGCGAATTAGCTCTGATAGGTTTTTGTGCAACATAAGTTCAAACTTTCAATAGATGAATCTCCACATAAGTTCTACATGTCAGATGCCACATCATTCAAAATATAATCGGTCCAAAAAAATAAAAGAAAAATGACTATTTAACCCACCTCAAAATTTTTAGTCCCATCATACAGGTGGGATGAATTTTGACCATGGATTGATGTCAAATCCATGAGCAGGATGTAGTTTATATGGGGGCACTACTAGTAGAGTATGGAGAGTATGGAGGATTGTAATTTCAGAATTTTGCAGTGGGTATTAAATATATTAATTTCTCTTTTCAACCCAATTTTAATAAGGATTTAATATGACACCTATTTTTGAGAAATTAGCATTGATCCCAAACACCAACATAGTAGTCCTCCTAAAAGACTTGATGGTCAAAATGGAAGACAGAAACCAATGTTTTTCCGTTCATCGTAATTGTGGGTTTAAAAGTCCTTCCCACCACTTTATCATATACCTCATTTACGCTACATCAAAAAATCTTCCTTGTTTTGATAATTGAATCTCTTTAGGTTGCATTTGGACGTGCTTGTGCAGTGCAATAGAAGTATAAAACAAAAACCCAGAATTTTAATGGGTTTGGTCTGGTTCGAGACAAGGTCTACAAGTTCCAAACCAAATATTAAATGTGACAATCAGGTCTCATCTGATTCAAACCGATTATACTTGTGATCTATAATTACCAATGATACTACATTTTCCTTCATTTTCTTACTTTTTCTTTCAAACCAAACATAACCTTAGAACTTTGTTTTTGACAATACAATTACAATGAAATTAACTGTATTTTTTCTAGAAACTAACTGTAAAATATTAAATAGTGTGGTAAAATCTATTATGCAGAAACTGCACAATGAATATATACATACCCTTTTAGGCAAAAAAGTATAACAAAAACTACAAGAAAATCAGGAAACCTCTCTGCATTATTAATTATGTAATTGGTTTGAAACAATAAAAACTAATTGCAACCAGTACTTCGGTTTTGTGAGGTAGACCTAACCTATTATCATCTCTATTGAAACCATCTCGTGGATGGCCTTTTCGCATTACTAATCAACCAATTTATGACAATTGATTTAAGCTTGAAAAAATAATTTGTGCTTATTTGCTTAAAGAGAGTAGCTGAATGAATTATTGCTTTGAATTCCTAGTCATCAGGTAGGCACACGTGGTGAGCTCATACATAAACATTTAGAAATTTTTTTGACACCTGTCCCTTCCAAATTTACTATGCTTTGGATGACGTGGAAAAACAGAAATAATAAAATCTTTAATAGCATGTCTTTTGCATTAAATTTATTTTCTGAGATTAATAAAGTTGTTAATACTCAGTCAGTTCCCTTTATGGCTAAATGTTGGAGATCCATAAGGTGGAAATGCCCGAAAATGAGATATCAAAGTTAATATAGCTTTCCAGAATGAGGATGGGGCTTGCTCGATTGCTTGTAATTGTCAAAAATCATTTTGAGAAAGTACTTGATGTAAAATAATACTTTATTGAAGTCAACTCAACCAATCTTATAGAAGTTTGGGCATTCAAGAATAATCTAGTTTGTATTGAAGATGACTCATTGTTGATGACCTTGTGTCTCAAGAACCAATATTATATCTCATGGAGATTGAAGACCGTCATGGAGGATTGCTAGAGGTTGGTCGAGACTATGGAGCTATGTGTGGAGGACAAACATTCATTTAGGGAAGCTAATCAAGCTGTAGACTTGCTGGTCTGTGAAGTTTTGTTGAATAAATTAAATGGGGTTCTTCTTCACTTAATCCCCATGCCATTCATAGTTATTTAGTTTTCATTTGTTCGTGTAATGTTTGGGATGGAGCTATCCCCGCCCTATATAGCTTCTAATTTTTTCCGAAAAAAAAAAAGAAAAAGGTGGAAAACAACTTTTGATTAGTGTTAGAATATTTAGTAAAGTGCTTATTGAATGTGTTTATAAAACTGTCTTACTAGATTGGACTCTTGAATTCCTTATATATTCAAATGTTCTTTTTTTTTTTTTGTAGTTTATATCTTAAAAGACAAAGTAATAAGTCATTCATTTTGACCACTTAAGTCAGTAAGTTCTCCCCTTCGACATGGAGACAGCATAAGCAATGGTTGGTGAAAAACTTGAAGAACCCATATCAGCTATTAGTTTTTTATTTTTTCTTTTCTTGAAAGATCAAATCAACTATTATTTATTATTTAGTGTCCCTTTGAGAGGCACTAAATAAACTATGGTTTTTGGCTTTTCCCAAGGTGGGCTCTACACATAGTTTATAAACTATGGTGAAAGATCCAGATATCCTTGAATAGATTATCAGTCAATTATTTCAAAGGCTGTCCACTTAAGCTACTTATTTTGGAGAACTTAAGGGTTGAACTGTTTTTTAAGGGCTTTTGATGAGCTGTTTCAAGAGGGGTTCAGATGGGCTCCCCAATCCCATAGAGTGTCCACAAGCTCTCTACAGCCCGTCTCCCCCGTGTATTGGTAACATACTAACATCTCATGCTTGTCATGGGAGAGGTATTCTTCATGGGCGTGCTATAAGCTAACGGCCTTCAACTTCAATTGACCAATTCAGATCTCCTACCTACTACACGAACCTTATTCACACTTACCCACGGTTTATTACGTTGAAAATATCACCCCTATTTGCATATTACTATTCATTGGGGTGATATTTTGAATGTACAAGTGTAGCGAGGCATGAATAGTAGATCCTAACTGTAAATTGATTTTGATTGACAGCCGTTTCAAGTGTTTCAGATTTTTCAACAAACATAGAGGTTATCTATTTGGGGACCACTTTAGAAAGTCAAAAGCCATTGCGCTTCAATCCCAAATAAGGGCATTTTCAGTCGCTTTGAATAGCTTATAATAAGAAGTATATCAAAGCAGGTGAACCGACTTTTAACCGAGTATTCAACTCAGCCCTCCCAAACGGGCCCTAAGTTCTTTGGACATGGGAGTTGGGACAAGTTCAATTCCAATTTCCGGGTACTCTTGAGTCTCGAGTCTTGACTCTTTTGCCTTTCAGATACAAGACAAAACATTTATTTTTCCTTTCTCTCTTTCGCAGCAAAACGGCAAGGTCACGATGTTACAGGGAGATGCCAGATAATTTTAACGCCATCGGCGGGGAAATACCGGCTAAATCACCGGAAGTATTACTGCAAGGCTTTGACTTTCCACCGAGGATCTCTCTGCTTTTGTTTTTTTTTTTTTTATTCTTCCCCCTTTATTCGTGTTCAGGATGTTCAAATGATGAAACTGGAGGAGTAATTTAGGTTTTCTGATCTATCTGAATCAACACAAAGAATTGGGAGTTTCAGTAAGTATAAGTCAATTATTTGTTGGACATTTTTTTATCTGTCGATTATTGTTCAAGGTTTTCAATTGTTTATGATGTCGAAAGTCGATTCTGGAAAGAAAAATGGTGGCGATCCTGGTAACGGGAGGTTGTTGCATGAACTTGAGGTGCTGAGCAAGGCTCTTTATCTCAACAAAGACCCTCCAAAGGGTATGATTTCGGGCTCCGATGGTCGAGCCAAATCTTCTGGAAAAACCCATGTCCCCGAGTTAAAGCCGAAACCTAGGTTTCTGAAGGAAGACTTGTCTCACAAGAAAAAGGACTTGTTGCAGAAGGACAAGAAGTCTCTATGGGATTGGAAGCCCTTGAAAGCTTTATCACACATTCGGAGTCGTAGATTCAATTGCTGTTTCTCTCTGCAAGTACATTCAATCGAAGGATTGCCACTAAGTTTCAACGATATCAGTCTATGTGTTCACTGGAAGACGAGGGAAGTCGGGTTGCAGACACATGCGGCTAGGGTTTTTGAAGGGACCGTTGATTTTGAAGAAACATTGACACACAAATGTTCTGTCTATGGTAGCCGTAACGGGCCTCACCATTTGGCCAAGTATGAAGCGAAGCATTTTTTGCTCTATGCTTCTGTGGTCGGTGATCCTGAACTAGATCTAGGGAAGCATCGGATCGATCTTACCAGGTTGTTTCCTCTTACTTTGGAGGAATTGGAGGAGGAGAAGAGCTCGGGAAAGTGGACAACCAGCTTTAAGCTATCGGGCAAGGCCAAAGGTGCTACTCTGAATGTTAGTTTTGGATTTTCAGTAATAGGGGATGATCCGGTTGAATCTGGTGGTGTTAGAAACGCTCCTCAAGTTTTGAACTTGAAGCAGAATAGACCCATTGCAATAAAGCCTGTGAATGGTTTTGATAGAGGTCACAGCCACACTCTTCGGAGAGATGGAAGCCTTCCTGGCATTCCTAACCAAAGCTCTCACCTCCTATCTCAGTCTGTGGAAGACGTGAAGATTCTTCATGAGGTTTTGCCAACTTCAAGGTCAGAGCTATCCACTTCAGTAAATTTGCTTTATCAGAAGCTTGATGAAGACAAATTCAACTCTCTTGGGGATTCCAAGCCCGAGTTTGAGGTTTTCTCTGAAAATGTTGAGCCCCTCAAACCAATTTCTAACTCTATTTCTGAGTCTGCCAAAAAATATTCTGAAAATACATCGGAAGATCCTGAGTTTAGTGTTATTGACAAGGGGATAGAAATGTCTGGGAATGAAGATATGAAGCTTGATGATGACAGTGAGAAGGCTTTTGATGATTCTACTGTAGAAACTATCAAGACTGCTGAGATCAACATGGACAATGAGGTGGCCCCTGAAGTGGACATTAAGCCTAATTTCCAAGGTGAGGCCTATGGTAATTTTAAAGATGATTTGTTGGTGGATGAATACAAATCCAAAAAGAGCGATACATGCACCAAACAATCGCTCATGGAGGAACTAGAACAGGCTTTTCATAACCTGTCAATTATGGAGTCAGAAAGACTAGGTTCTCCCCCAGCAAAATGCCAGTCACCTGAGCAAGCAAATTACATGGAAGTTAAATCCAACTATAAAGCAAGTAAAATGGGCAAGTCTCTGAGTTTGGATGATGTTACAGAATCCGTTGCAAGTGAGTTTTTAAGTATGCTTGGAATTGATCACAGTCCATTTGAGTTGAGTTCTGATAGCAATCCTGAGTCTCCAAGGGAGCAATTATTAAGGCAATTTGAAAAGGATGCCCTAGCTGGTGGCAACTGCATCTTTGGTTATGATTCTGGCAATGAGAAAGAGGTAGAATTTGGTTATGATGCCCCAACTAGTCCTGGTTTGGACTTCTCTGAGGATTTCAACTTGTCATCGGTTGTTCATGCTGCTGAGGTAGATCATCAGAAAATGATGCAGGCGATGAAGGGTAAAACGAGGGCCAAAATGCTTGAAGATTTGGAGACAGAAACTTTGATGCGAGAATGGGGTTTGAATGAGAAGGCTTTTCAGAGTTCACCTAACAGCTCTGGTGGATTTGGAAGTCCAGTTGATCTACTACCTGAAGAGTCACTCATGTTACCTCCCCTTGGAGAGGGATTGGGTCCATTTATCCAGACAAGGGATGGGGGATTCTTGCGCTCAATGAATCCTTCACTTTTCAGAAATGCTAAGAATGGTGGGAGCTTGATCATGCAGGTCTCTAGTCCTGTTGTAGTGCCTGCTGAAATGGGTTCTGGTATTATGGAGATACTACAACGTTTGGCCTCTGTTGGAATTGAAAAGCTCTCTATGCAGGCTAATAAGTTGATGCCATTGGAAGATGTTACTGGGAAGACAATGCATCAAGTAGCATGGGAAGCTGCACCATGTCTGGAGGCAACAGAGAGGTATGCACGTTTACCTTTAACATTGGTTGTTAAGTTTGAATTGCTGACCATTTTGCCCTATTCTGGATTTTGACTTGTTTTTATTTCTATTTTACTTTTTCCTCGGTCATTACAGGCAGGGATTATTGCAGCATGAATCAGTTGTTGGGCAAGAGACATTTGGTGGAACAAAGAAAGGTAGAAATGGGCACAAGTCTAATAACTTGAACATGAGCTCCTTAAGTGGACAAATAGGATCAGAGTATGTGTCTCTGGAAGACCTTGCTCCTTTGGCAATGGACAAGATTGAAGCTCTCTCAATAGAAGGCTTGAGAATACAATCTGGCATGTCTGATGAGGATGCACCTTCAAATATCTGTCCTCAATCAATTGGGGAGATCTCGGCCCTTGAAGGGAAAGGAGCTAATACCACTGGCTCTCTTGGTTTGGAGGGAGCTGCAGGATTGCAGTTGTTAGACATTAAAGATTCTGGAGATGATGTTGATGGATTAATGGGTCTCTCAATAACTCTGGATGAGTGGATGAGGCTGGATGCTGGTATAGTTGATGATGAAGATGAAATCAGTGAGCGGACTTCAAAGATACTTGCTGCTCATCATGCTACATGCACTGATTTGATTACTGGAGCACAAAATCGAGACAAGAAACGTGGCAAGGGTTCTGGTAGAAGGTGTGGTTTGTTAGGCAACAACTTCACAGTAGCATTAATGGTGCAGCTTCGAGATCCCTTACGTAACTATGAGCCAGTTGGTGCCCCAATGCTTGCTCTAATTCAAGTGGAGAGGGTTTTTGTTCCTCCAAAGCCCAAAATATACTGCACAGTTTCAGAAAAGAGAAACCATGAAGAAGAAGAAGAAGAATCTGAAACAGTGGTGAAGGAAGAAATCAAGGACGAGACAGTAGATAGAAAGGATGAAGAAGAAGGCATTCCTCAATTCAAAATCACCGAAGTTCATGTTGCAGGTCTGAAGACAGAGCCTGGCAAAAAGCTCTGGGGAACCCCAAAGCAGCAGCAATCTGGATCCCGCTGGTTGCTTGCAAGTGGCATGGGAAAAAGTAGCAAGCATCCATTTATGAAGTCAAAGGCTGTCACAAAATCAACTCCCCAGATGACAACAACAGTGCAGCCTGGGGACACCTTGTGGAGCATCTCATCACGTGTTCATGGAACTGGGGCCAAATGGAAAGAATTGGCGGCACTGAATCCACATATACGGAACCCAAATGTCATCTTCCCAAATGAAACTATTAGATTGTGTTAAACTGTGCATGCAATTTAAAACCATCCAAATGGGATTGATGTACTACATACCACCCATTTTATAGGGATGTATGAAGGTATGCCGTTGAAACTTGCTGAGAATAGAGCAGCGTTGAGTTTTTTGTGCAGGCAGCAAGATTGAGTGGTTCAAATTGTAAATGGGTTAATGAATGTAAGCTAAATGGTTCTTGGTTCTAAACAGCAATGATGGTATCTGGCGGTTGAACTTTACCTTGTATTTAGTAATGGCTATTGGCTAGCCATGCAAAGAAAATAAAATGGTAAATGTCCCCTTAATACCGTTGTTTTCACCTATAAAATATGTATTGTGGTAAAGAAAGAAAATATGTTTTAGAAGAAGCATGTGCAGGCACTAGATTCATTTGTGGAACAGTGGGTAGATTGAATTTGCTTTTATTTGTTGTCAAGTGGAAAGAAAGAATCTAGCTTAATGTTGGGACTTGCAAACAATGCTAGAAATGCTTTGCAAGTGATTTCAGGGTCTGCTTTTTTTGTGTATCAGGTTAGTTTCTTTGATTCTTTCATTAAACATAGGAATAAAAGGAGGCTTACCAGTTCACTTTTTCTTTTCTTTTCTTCTTTTTTTTTTTTTTTTTTGTGTGAGGGGGGGGGGCGTGTTATGTTGGTCTTGTGGCTGGAAAATGAGGCTTCACAGAATTCCATTGAACCCGTCTCTGAGTAATCCAATCCTTAAACAGGCATAAAATGATTTTTATACCCATTGCTGGGACTGATCATAACCCCTTAGCTAGGAAGGTAAAGAAATAGAGTTCACTATTATCATCTTGTTAATGCAATTGATGTTTCTACAATTGACCTCCCAATATGACTGCATATCATGCTATTTGTCAAGTTGATCCTCCAATCTTTGTATACGGAATTTATTTTTTGCTCTCTGGGTAAGATGTATCTTAAGAAGTATTTTTGATAAAGTAATCTGTTATTACTGCCCTGGTTTAGATTTGAGGTATGTTAATCCATTGGCATTTATTGATTGGGCATTGCAAAACCATGTGAATGAAACTGTTACACATTACTTTCTTTCTTATGTTACAAGTTTATCTTTTAAAGTTCCGAAAAAGCTTTGCATCATGTTGATACAGAATGTAAACTAGCATACGGGCATCAATGATTCTTCCAATCAACATGTGCAGAACCTGAAAAATGGTTGTTGACGAAAATAATCCAGAGTTGCTTGAGAAATGTGCTGTTCATAGTATAGGAAGTAAATCTTGAATCTTTGGTTAGTGGCCTGTGTTTTTGCTGTCTGTGCAGGTTACAGCCCTTGAGCTAGCTGGTAAGATGTAGTTCTTTTAGTCCCTCAGAGGCTTGCTGGCTTGGATTGAATCTGATTCATTATTGCCTACCAGAAGAGCATTTTGTTTTGTTGATCAGAATGTAAAACCAGGTGTGTAAACTGCAATCCATGATGTATGTGCTGATTAAGACCATTGTGATGTACATGATTAGATGAAGAAAATGTATGAATGTAAAGTACTTAGAGTTAAAGGTAACCCAGGTTAAATCAGTCCTGTGCTGGTGACTAGAAATCAAAATCACTTTTTAGTTTAGGGACTATTCTGATAAATCATAATGAAACGCATCCAGTAACAAAGTTTAATTTGAGATTTCAGCAGATATGATCTCTGTATACTACCATGTATTCTGATAGGTGATGAATTCAGGAACTCCTTGATAAAACGCTGCACTGAAAACACAGAGATGGTCCGTGGTCGATATTCCTCTTTCAGCGCATATACATTGATGGACCTCCGAATTCCGATCACCAGTCAGGCTTAAGGACTGCAACATGTGTAGCATTCTGAATTCTGAAAACAACAGTACTTGCAAGGATGTTTCAACTGAAGGCTAAGTTAAGGTGGGAAGAGGAAAACAAAGGCGTGGACGCGTAGCGTGGGGTTGGGGGACTCAGGCCGAGGGGCTTTCGTGGTTGTGGGTGCCTTCGTATGTCGTTATCACGTGCTGTGGATCGTCTGCATCTCTTTCTATTCTCTTCTTCACTGGGCATCCTTCCACCGAACACCTGTAGTAGTTCCTGATCAAAAAACGGATTGAAAAATAGAGTTCATTAGGTAAAGATAAAGGAAGATTACTGCTTGTTGTCCGATGGGAACAGCTGGAAAAAACAATTGGGGGAATAAGACGATTTCTGATCAGTGTCATATTTTCATTCTGTTCAGTGCCATATCCATCATTAAATCATGAAAAAAAAACATTTTTTGTTATTTCAACCAAGGTTCAAAGTACGTATCGGCCGATACATATCGTTATGGCACCCCACCGATATGCCCCTACAGTGGGTGTATCAGTGGTCTGACCAGTTCAGGGTGTGGTGAAGACCTAAACCGGCTCCCCTGAACCAGTTAGCGAAAAAAATACAAAAAAAAACACCAGAAAGAGTATTGATTCGCCCGATATGCCTGGGAATATCGATATTTTGAACATTGATTTCAACTCAAGTCCTTTTCGACCTGCCCTTAACTCTTTTAGCACTATTTCATTATATTTGTGTGTGTGTGTGTGTTTATTTCGTTAGTATCAGAATTGAAAATGAAATTTTCAAAGAAATCAGGAATGGTTCAAATTGAGTTCACGTCTCCGTCTCCGCCCCACAAGGAGCCACCCTCAATGCCTCACAGCACATCCCTGCCGTGTATTAAGAACATCTTCCGATGATAGTACCAATCTCAATGATGTCATCATCGGGAAATGTTTTCAATACACGGTGGAGATGTGCTGTGGGGCGGAGATATAATCTCGTTCGAATTAGTAATAAAATGAGTAAAAATATATCAATATGGCTTAATTACATGGCCGAGTAAAAATAATTGATTACAACTTAAAAGCCTAAAACAAATATAAACAGGTCAAAAAATGACACAAGTTGAAGTAGTGAACAATGATTTGAGACCCTATAATTTGACAATAGAGGTGGCATTAAACAGCGTGGAATGGCAAAACAGGATTCATGTAACAAATCCATATAATTGGGACAACGCTTGGTTGAGCTAAGTTGAGCATTTTTGTTGATGTGTTAAGGGCTTTACAATATTGTTTTGCTACAAAATGGCCATTCTGACTGCAACATATGTTTTCATGCTTGTTACCCCTTAACAGAGTACTCTCATATCTTTATTATTTCTCAATGGGTTACTTGTCTAGGGGGTCAATGAGCCATTACTTGGTGTAATGGTATAATCTCATGTTGCAAGTGTGAGAACATGGGTTTGAATCTAAGAGTGGCCACTTGGTGTTGAAAAAAAGAAAAACAATAAACTAAAAAAAAAAAAGCTGAAGGTTAAAATCAAATCTAGTCTAATTCTTCCAAAACCCTAGATAGCTGGGAGCTTGGAACTAACATTGGGCAGTGGCCTAGTGGCCTTTCTTTGGGAAAACTCTGATCAGTACCTTGTATTTTGGGCCTAGTGCCACTTTAGTCTCCAAATTTTAAAATGCGATAATTCAGTACCCAAATTTTTAAAACGTGTCAATCCAGTACATGTTAATCAGCCATTAAGTGGCATTTGAAAAGACACAAATGCCTTTTAACTGTCATCTAATTTTCTTTATCAACCATCCAAATGTTGATAAAAATGAATAATCCCAAATCTTTGTCTTTCTATTCAAGAAAGTTAGGGCTACGTCTGACACTCGAAGGGCATTTGTGTCTTTTCAAAATGTCATTTAACGGTTGATTAGCGACAGGTACTAGATTGGCATGTTTTGAAAGTTCAAGTATTGAATTATCGCGTTTTAAAGTTTGGGAGACCAAAGTGGCATTAGGCCCAAAGTACAGGATACTAATCAGGAATTTTCCCTTTTTATTAATTATATTTTGTGTTTATGATTTATTGAGAAAACATTACGTGCAACTCTTGTCCCAGAACAACTCAGCAACCCCCAAGGAATTGTAAATACATCACTGCTTGAAATAAGAAAACAACTTATACAATGTGTTGAAGTCAATGTTTTAAAAACCAACTTGGAATCGGAACTGTTCTAGCCACTGGTTTCCAAGTTCACGATTTGAGCATCCGGTTCAAATGGACAACCTATTTGGACAAAATAATTAAAAAAAGTAATAAAAATAAAAAACAGTCAAAACCGTTGAATGGGTCGAACAGGTTAATGGTTCGACCGCTCGGATCAACGGATCATTGACCAATTCAACGATTTTTGGCCAAGGATCAGGTTTTGTATAAAGCGGAACTGGCTGCCTAGATGGTCCAACTGTCCGGATCGATGGCAGTTTATTACAAACGGTAGTGTGTTCATTTTTTACTGAAGGTTGCTGGATTGTTCTACAACCATGACCATGGTCGTAGATAATGCGAGCTCTGATTTACATGGTACCCGCTTATGCTCAGTTTGAAAGGAGTATAAATGCTAATATATACAGTACAAATACATATAAAATAATACAAAATACAAAATTTTGCATTGAAGGATAAGCCATTGAAAATGATGGTTTGAGGCTAAACCTAGGTTGCTGGGGACACAAGCCCTACTTTTATGGGTCTGGGATCTCCATGCATTGCCACCTCTCCCACCTTCACGGCATCAGAATCCGCCACTTGATAGTTCTTAATTACATCTGAGTTAATAATCAGGTATGGAAGATACTTCTGAGATGCTTGAACCAGGTAGTAAGGTAGCGGGTTGCAAAATCATTCAATATTTGGTATAGTCGATTAACTTTTGTAACCCATGCATGCATGGAAGGTTTGTTCTTAGTAACACAGGATTGTGGGTAGGTTTCCGCCTTTGGGGGAGCAAGGATTAAGAGTGAAGATTTATCTAAATCATTTCATTATCTTGTATATGCATCTGTCACAAGTTGAATAAGATAGAAAAGGTAGGGATAGACCGAAAAGTTCTTGGCTGGAAGTAGTAATAAATAATTAATACCGATAATTTGACTATATATTGAATAGAATAAAATGGTGAAACAAATTCATGTAGCTAACCCATATAGTTGGGGAAGGCTTGCATGATGATGACAAATTAAAAAAGCTTGAAACAAGTTCAATATGGACAAATTCCAATAAGCCCATTTTGATCCTATATTTCATGAACCAAGAATGGAACCATTTTAAAACTTGATATTTTTTCATGCATAGAAGTTGAGGAGTTTACATCGACGTCTCACATAACATCCCCACCGTGTATTGGAAACATCCCCAATAACAAGTATAGAAAATGTTCCCAATCAGATGTGCATGCAAGGAGATTGGCTTTCGTCAGAGCAGACCGTG